CTGTTGATGAAGTCTCTGTCCCTGGTGCCCTTGCTTTGGATCTGATTGAGCAGGTACTGAAGACCTTCTTTAAGTTTACAAATTTGGGCGCCAAATATGATATTCACTGTTTTGTTATTTTTCACTTATGCAGGCTGAAGTGGAAGTCGAGAGACTTGATCAGCTGAAAGCCAGCAGGATGAAGGAAATTGCTTTCAAGAAGCAAGCAGAGCTTGAAGAGATATTTGCTCGTGCTCATGTAGAAATAGACCCAGATGCTGCCAGGGAGAAGATTATGGCATTGATTGATTCAGGAAACGTTGAACCAGCTGAATTACTGGCTGACATGGACAATCAGATAGCAAAAGCAAAAGAAGAAGCTTTAAGTCGAAAAGATATACTGGACAAGGTTGAGAAATGGATGTCAGCATGTGAAGAGGAGAGTTGGCTTGAAGACTATAATCGGGTATTTGTAATTTCCCTTTCTACTATTTTTCTCGTTCTGAGTCTGAATATCTGATCAGAACATTTAATATCATGTTCAGAGAGTTGTATATCATTTAATGAGAGTCAATATGCATTCATCTTTATTCTATAGTTTGCTTTCTCAGTTTATGTGATTAGTTATTTGAGAAGATAGCTGAAATGTTTCTTGCCCTGTTTCAAAAAATATGAATAAGCTTTAGCTTTGCTACAAGTGATGATCATTACATAAAATGATCATAATCTTCCCCATTTGGATCACAATTTCTCTCTGACACAATTACAAAACCTTGTAAAACAGGATGATAATAGGTATAATGCAAGCAGGGGTGCACACTTAAACCTCAAACGTGCAGAGAAAGCTCGGATATTGGTCAACAAAATTCCAGGTATCTATGGAATGAAATTACCACCACCATCAGATACTGTTATTGAATCTGCCGTCAGTGTATGCAAGACAAAATGTTGCCATATTATTGGAATAATTTTGTTTCTTTTGGTGAGAATGCAGCTTTGGTCGAAACATTGGTTGCTAAAACTCGTGCATGGGAAGAAGATCATGGCATGTCATTTACATATGATGGCGTTCCTCTTCTTGCAATGTTAGATGAATATGCCATGCTCAGGCATGAACGGGAAGATGAAAAACGGAGGATGAGGGTAAGTTTCACCCATAGGATGATTAGGATGACTTGTGCTTATATTGATTTAAGCACTTGATAGACCACAACACTGCGACGAAATAATCTAACTATTAGCTTGGCTTATTTCCGTTCACTATTCTATATTTGTTGTACAAACAGTGGTATCATAATATATGGACTTTGTACTCTGTAGGATCAGAAAAAGCATCACGAGCAACGAAACACAGAACAAGAAGCCATCTTTGGTTCAAGACCCAGCCCTGCAAGGCCAGTTAGCTCTGGTAAGGTAGGAGGTCCTCGTGCTAATGGAGGAGCTAATGGTACTCCTAACCGACGGCTATCGCTTAATGCTCATCAAAACGGAAGCAGGTCCACAACCAAAGATGGAAAAAGGGATATCAGACCAGTTGCTCCTGTGAATTATGTGGCCATATCAAAAGAAGATGCTGCTTCCCATGTTTCTGGTACCGAACCAATCCCAGCATCACCCTAATAACGAGATCTTAATTTTCAACCATATAATTTCATCTTTGTAGCATTATCATATTACTAGTTACTGCTTTAGGAATTATAATATGGAAGTGACAAGTAATTAGAGAGGAACTGTTTTGAGCTGTGTATGTTCAATTTGCCATTTGGAGGTTTTCTCAATACATGTGCCCTTTAATATGAAAATATAGTGCTAGTCTTGCCTTTTTCCAAAACATGGCTCCTCCTATTCATTGGTTTCTATCACTTTACTAGTGTGTCTGAAACGGTTTGATATGCACGTCTACCAAGATGAAAGAATGAGAAATAAAATAAAATAAAATGCTGAAGCAACAAATAGTTTGTTCTCACTCAATTCCCTTCCATCAAAATGACAGAATCTGAAACCAAACACTAAGTCCGGTCTTTATGTTGTCAAACGCTAGTTTCAGAATCCGAGTTTTCTTCTTGAGATGTTTTAGCATCATGCTCCTGGCAATTGTTATTTCATACATATTTTAAGTCACGGAGCAAGCATTAAAGAATGGACCAAACTCAAATCACGTGTTTCAGTTATCAATCAAGATCTGCTGAGAACCACTTTCAGTATCTGATTCTAATAGGATCCAAGGTAGTATGAACCACTTTCAGAGAACATTACTTTTTTTGTTTTAATATTATTGAATATTGATATTGAAATGAACATTGCATAATAATAATAATAATAATAATAATAATAATAATAATAATAATAATAATAATAATAATAATAATAATAATAATAATAATAATAATAATAATAATAATAATAATAATAATAATAATAATAATAATAATAATAATAATAATAATAATAATAATAATAATAATAATAATAATAATAATAATAATAATAATAATAATAATAATAATAATAATAATAATAATAATAATAATAATAATAATAATAATAATAATAATAATAATAATAATAATAATAATAATAATAATAATAATAATAATAATAATAATAATAATAATAATAATAATAATAATAATAATAATAATAATAATAATAATAATAATAATAATAATAATAATAATAATAATAATAATAATAATAATAATAATAATAATAATAATAATAATAATAATAATAATAATAATAATAATAATAATAATAATAATAATAATAATAATAATAATAATAATAATAATAATAATAATAATAATAATAATAATAATAATAATAATAATAATAATAATAATAATAATAATAATAATAATAATAATAATAATAATAATAATAATAATAATAATAATAATAATAATAATAATAATAATAATAATAATAATAATAATAATAATAATAATAATAATAATAATAATAATAATAATAATAATAATAATAATAATAATAATAATAATAATAATAATAATAATAATAATAATAATAATAATAATAATAATAATAATAATAATAATAATAATAATAATAATAATAATAATAATAATAATAATAATAATAATAATAATAATAATAATAATAATAATAATAATAATAATAATAATAATAATAATAATAATAATAATAATAATAATAATAATAATAATAATAATAATAATAATAATAATAATAATAATAATAATAATAATAATAATAATAATAATAATAATAATAATAATAATAATAATAATAATAATAATAATAATAATAATAATAATAATAATAATAATAATAATAATAATAATAATAATAATAATAATAATAATAATAATAATAATAATAATAATAATAATAATAATAATAATAATAATAATAATAATAATAATAATAATAATAATAATAATAATAATAATAATAATAATAATAATAATAATAATAATAATAATAATAATAATAATAATAATAATAATAATAATAATAATAATAATAATAATAATAATAATAATAATAATAATAATAATAATAATAATAATAATAATAATAATAATAATAATAATAATAATAATAATAATAATAATAATAATAATAATAATAATAATAATAATAATAATAATAATAATAATAATAATAATAATAATAATAATAATAATAATAATAATAATAATAATAATAATAATAATAATAATAATAATAATAATAATAATAATAATAATAATAATAATAATAATAATAATAATAATAATAGAGTTTGGCATGAGAAAATTACTATTAAAGTTGTTATATTGTAGAACCATTAGCAAATGTAACTAAACGGACAACAAATAAGAAAAAGTAACAAATAATGCTGTAATTTTCACATCAATAAAGTTATTGCCTTTCAACCTTAAATAAACGGTTGAGTTTATTAACTAAAATTTAAATTTAATCTTTAATAAGAATTATATATTAGAGTGCTAAAATAAAATTTTAGTTGTTTGAAGTAATTTTTTATTAAAAAAATCTTAAATAAGATAATAAGTTATTTAAAAAATGTTGAAAATTATTTCAAACAATTACAAAAAAAATGAGAAGAAAAAAATCTTTAAAATTACTTAAATTATTTGTATCAAAATAAAATCAATTATAAATTATTTAAGTATGATATAATATAATAAAATAATATTTTATATTTTTTTAACGAGAGTTTGGCACTAAGCGCTAGCCACTTAGCTAAAAGCTTAAGCTAGTAGTAAGGGTTCACACTTTAGCACTTAGCCCCTGGTCCCACCACGCTTCCGCGACTCGATTCCCCGCTCTTCGGGAATCTCGAGGGACTTACCACACGCTGCCCCAATTCCGTCCTCTGCAGGAATCGAGCACGCGCCTCGTTCCGATACCAAGAGAGGGGGAAAGAGGGGTGAAACTCAAAACAGGAAATCCGGGGTTTGAACCGCCAGATAACTGACTGATACCCCAAAAATAAAGAGGTACAGAGAAAGCAGGATAACCCGGTGAGGGAAAACACTGCTCGGATATCGGAGGGTGGACGAACAGAGAAACCGGAATGAACCCGAATAAATCGCTCGAGACCGAAGGAATGGAAAGGAGGAAAGTAAAGAGACAGGAAAACAAAATAAATTAAAACATGTTATAACTAATTAGTGACTCTATCAAAGATATCCTAATTAATAAATTGAATTTTATATCTTTAAAAGTCAACCGTTAAATTCATATTTTCCAGCGAGAGTTAACTTATTATTAAAAATATAGTCTTAATGAAATAAAAATAATATGCATATATATATATATCACTATTTTTTTAAACAATATTTTAATTAATAGCTTATTCACTATTTTTAAAAAAATTAATAACTTAATTTTTCTTAACTGATAAGTTTTCAGTTTTTATTTCCTTGGGCGGGGAAGATGGTCGAATACATAACACAAGCTTGGAATAAAGCTAACAAACGACGCCGTTAGGTTTTCAATACCTTCTCCGTTTTGAATCTTTGGAAATTGAGATGGCGAATGAAAACGAACCAGCGAAGCTGCTGTTACCATATCTTCAACGCGCCGATGAATTGCAAAAGCACGAACCCCTCGTCGCTTATTACTGTAATTCTCTCTTAATTACTCTTTTTTTTGTTTAGGATCGATACCTATTTTTCATTAAATACACCAATCGATGTTGTAAATTATTATGCTTAAATTGCTTTTGATGAAATTAGGTCGATTATATGCGATGGAACGGGGGTTGAAGATTCCGCAAAGCGAGCGCACAAAGACCACTAATGCTCTTCTCATCTCGCTCATGAAGCAGCTTGAAAAGGTTCTTAGTCAAAATTTGTTGACTTGTTCTGGTGATTGTTTTCACAATTAACTGAAACTTAAGATGACCCGCAAATAACTAAATAAAAAATCATGTGTGATATTTTTATCGATCTCGTGGAGCCCTAACTTTGGTTTTTGGTTAGATGGTGGAAATCTAATCTAATTTAATCATGTTAATTGAATGTGTTTGAATCTGAATAATGATGTACTGATGATACTATGTCGTGTTTTCCTTTGAAAGATGTTAGTGGCTGACATGTTTGATCGGGTACATGTATGATGTTTTTATTTAATTAATTGATATATCTTAAATGTGTTGTTTTTCCAGGATAAAAAGTCCATCCAGTTAGGGCCTGAGGACAATTTATATCTTGAGGGTTTTGCTTTGAATGTGTTTGGAAAGGCAGACAAGCAAGATCGTGCTGGAAGAGCAGATTTGTATAATAATATCACTCTTTATTTGTCCTTTAAAATGCTAGGATTGAAATATACAAGCTTTTTTAAGCTTTTATATGTTGGTTTGTTCTGTTGCATCAATTTATAACTTTTATCTCAATTTTATGTTGAGGTTTAGAAGGGATTTTTGTATGTGCTATTTCCTTTCTCTTGAACAAGATAGTAGCTCACTCTCTAATTGTTTGCCATTCCCTTCACATGTCATTTGCATGACTATCTTGTGTGTTGGAATTTTTCATCTGTGATAAGTTTTTAACATATATTCTTTGTCCTTTTACAGGAATACGGCTAAAACATTTTATGCTGCCAGCATCTTTTTTGAGATTCTTAATCAATTTGGTGCAGTTCAACCTGATGTATGTATTTCATGAATTGAACCTTCCTTTTTTATGCACGGTTTTCACTGTGTGTTTCTTGTTTTAAAACAATTTGCAGCAAGAATTCATCTTCATGTAACTGTATGTTTAATGCTTTTATGAGTTCCTTTTACAGCTGGAGCAGAAACAGAAATATGCAGTGTGGAAAGCAGCTGATATAAGAAAAGCTTTGAAAGAAGGAAGAAAGCCCACAGCTGGTCCCCCTGATGGTGATGAGGATCTGTCAATTCCATTCAGCTCTTCAAGTGATAGATATGTATGATTCCAAATTTAACATGGTGTCTTCTTAGGTTGATCAGTTAGAAAAACATATATAAATTGATTAATGGATATAAACAATTAACTTTCAGCGTTTATTCTTGCAGGAACTTGGGACTAATGAAACTACTGTTTCCAGCCACGGACTTGAATCTGATTCATCACCTAGTTATCATAACCCTGTCAACTACCAGAATACACAAGGCATTCATCCGGCTCCTAAATTTCATGATACTGTTAATGAACAACATTCTTCAAATAGTCCACCATCTGTACCATGTCATGATAGGGTAGATAACAACAAGCATTCTTCTGTTGTTTCTCCATCATCTCTCTCTTACACGCCTGGAGTTTATCCTTCCCAAGACTATCCTCCTCCTCCACCTTCACAAGATTATCATTCTCCGCCACATTCCCAAGAGTATCATCCTCCTCCACCTTCCCAAGACTATCATCCTCCACCACCTTCCCAAGACTATCATCCTCCACCACCTTCCCAAGATTATCATCCTCCTCCAACATCCCAAGATTACCATCCTCCTCCAACATCCCAAGATTACCATCCTCCACCTGCGAGGTCAGAAGGTTCTTATCCCGAGCTCTACAACCACCAGCTATACTCAAAGGAGAATTCACAGCATTTAGGGCCTAACTACCCTTCTCATGAAAATTCTTCTTATTCCTATCCCCATTTTCAGTCTTATCCAAGTTTTACAGAAAGCAGCCTTCCATCAGTCCCATCAAACTATACTTATTATCAAGGGTCGGATGCTTCATATTCTTCCCAGTCGGCTCCGCTAACTACAAGCCATTCATCAAGTGCCCAACATAGTTCCAGCAGCAGAAATGGAACTGTCGTGGAACCTAAATCAACTACTCAGACATACCAGTATAACAGTAACTACCAGCCAGCACCTGAAAAAATAGCGGAGGCACACAAGGCTGCAAGATTTGCTGTTGGAGCACTGGCATTTGATGATGTCTCAATTGCAGTAGACTACTTGAAGAAATCACTTGAGTTGCTGACAAATCCATCAGCTAGTTAGTAAGATTTTATGTAATTCGAAATATGGATTTCTATGGTTTTTCTACCTATTTATTTATTTGCGTATATTGTTTTGTAAATTATTAGAAGTGTGAAGAAATTTGGGTAACATGACGTAAACGGAAGTCATAAAATCCGCCGTGGCTGCTGTCTTTCCCGTTTATCTGGTTGTAATGATTGAATTTAACTTGCTTGTCAAGGAATTGTGATACATACAAGACGTCTGCTTGATGAATTTGAGTTGTCTGTCTGGAGCAATTCTCTTTTGGGGATTTGCCTCCGAACTTAAATTCAGGTTCACTCAGCTGTTAAATTCTTGAGTACATCATAACTTGTTGCTCAAGAAGCTCCATTTCAGAGATTAGTGCAATTTGCAGTGGCATAAGAACTTATATTTTTTTAAAGAATAGCCGGACAACATTTATTTACTGAAATTGTCAGGAAAACTAAAGTTGAATAATTAACCATATTATACTTAGACTCTCGTTTCTTTTCAAGGAAGGAGTCTGGAGTATTATTCTGAAAAGATAATTTGGGTAATAATATGCATAGTCCCTTCAGTGGTACCGTCTTATGGTTATTGAAAGAAATGTGTAAAGACACGGTGTAGAGATTAAATTTAATAAAATAATATTTTTATAATACAGTAAGTTTATAATAATATTTTTTTAAATGAAAAAAATAAAAGTTATAGTTATAATTAATACAAGTTATAAAAATAAAATATATTAAAAATTATAAAATAAATAATTATTAAAATAAGATTTTTATATAATATAATAATTATTATTTAAAATTGATATATTTAATATGAAAAAAAATTAAATATTATATTTTTATTAAAAAATTATATTAATTTTTTTTATTAAAATCAATTTGACTTAAAAATTTAATTAATTTTTTTAGATTTATTTTAATTTTTTAATTTGATTAAAATTTGATTATTTAATTTTTAACCGTTGTGGAAGCGAAACGTGTTGTATCGTGATGTGACTGGGCATTAACTTATCTTTCATTCTGATATCATCAGTTACAATGAACTTTCAACGCATGAACTTCTTATTGACCGATATATGATTCCACACAAGTTCTTCAAAACCTATTCACCTTTCACATTTGTGTAGGGGAACATGATTCCACACAAGTTCTTCAAAACCTGTTCACCTTTCACATTTGTGTTGGAGAACACTTCATAGAAACCAAGTTTCTGTCTGCACCTTGCAAAAGAAGGCAGCAGCACATCTAACAGAGAAAGAAGCAACCCTTTTTATGGTCCTTAAAGCGTAGTTGCCTTGGATGACTAAAGGGCTTTTGCCTCTCGGAACTTTCTTCTTTTTTATCTTCCACACACGTCCATAACGGGCTACAAAGGCCCAAGAGAAAAGGAACTGCACTCCTAATGACTTCTCTCTCACCTCACTTTCTTCTTCTCTTTTGCTCCTTCCTTCCCATTTCAGCGTGATAGCGTCCTTCACTTCTTCCCTGGGGTACATGTTGGTCTTTCATTATTGTTTAGTCAAAAATAAATGTTTATTTTAAAAATTACCATCTCCTGTTGGGTTTTTTGAAGGGTTATGTGTATATGTATTTCTGATATATCATGTGTGTATATTTCTATTCATGTATCTACTATGTATATATAGAGTAAAAATATTACAAAATATTAAATATTCATAATATCTCAATCATAATGATCTAAATCAGAATAATAACCTAAATCAGAATAATAACCTAATGTCTTTTTACCTTCTCTCTTAAAAGATAATAAAATCTCTTAATACCTAATTTAAATAAAAGATAATAAAGTAATATTTCCAACATTCCTCCTTACTTTAATATCTATTTATTTGAATTTGATATATTTTTTCCTCCTTTTTTGTTTATACTTCTTGTTATTTTCTTTCTTGTATGAGATCACATCTTCATTCTTCACTTTCTTCATCAACGTATTTCTTCCTTTATCAACTTCATCTCCTTTGTTTCTTTCAAACTTCATGGTAGTACTGTTGACTCTTTGATGGACGTTAAAAACGGTTTCTTCATCTACATCTTTATTTTCCTCCTTAACATGAAATTCCTTCAAGAAATCTTCTTCATGCTTTTTCTTTGACTTTTCTTTTATATCTTCATTTGTAATCATCTCTTCTTTCATCAAATCTAAAGTGAAACTTTTTCCTTTCATGTGAACTTTGAATATTTCTAAGTTATTTGTATCTTTAATCACACAAAGTTTGTGTTCAAAAGACACCTTATAACTTTTCTCCAATAATTGAGCAACACTTAACAAATTATGATTTATATCAGGAACATATAAAACATCAATAATCAATTTGATACCCGAATGACTTTTAACTGCAATTGTTCTTGTACCTTTCACATTCATTTCTTCTCCATTACCAATTCTCACTTTAGAAATATGTGATTCGTTGAGCTCTTTGAAAAATTTTTGATCATGAGTCATGTGGTTTGTACAACCACTGTCTATTAGCCAACCTGTGGATTTTTTGATTGTAGAGCATGTTGATGCAAGGAGAAGTACCTCTTCTTCTCTATCCTCTATAACTTGAACGACTTCCTCTGGTTGTGATTTGCATATCTTTTCTATATGTCCCAATTGACCACATTTGTGACATTTCACATCAGGTCTCCACCAACACTTGTTGGGTGTGTGATTATTTTTCTTGCAATAAGGACAAACAGAAAATACTCGTGATTTTGTACCTTTGTTGTTCTTGGCTTGGACACAACCTCCATCATGATATAATAAAGAACCTTCACTAGCAGCATGATCTCCTCTCATCAATCTTCGTTGCTCTTGTGCTTGTAAAGCATGTAACACTTCTGCCAAAGTAATATTAGACAAATCTTTTGTGTTTTCCAATGAAACAATTGATGCTTCATATCTCTCTGGCACAGTTACCAGAATTTTTTCAACTATTCTAGAATCAGAAAATTCTTTGCCTAACAATTTTATTTTGTTAGCAATACCTAACAATTTGTTTGAGTATTCATTAATTGTCTGAGACTCTTGCATCTTTTGTATCTCAAATTCCCTTATCAAGTTTAGAACTTTCATACCTCGAATTTTCTCATCTCCTTCATATTGATCTTTCAAATAATCCCAAATTTCTTTGGGTGACTTTAGCGTCATGATTCTGGTGAGGATCATTTGTGAAACACCAGCAAACAGACATGATTTAGCTTTTGCCTTTCTCATTTTTCTTTCTCTGTGAGATTTCATTTGAGCTATAGTGGGATTTTCAGGTAGTGGATCAACAATATAATCTTCTTCTACAGCTTCCCATACATCCAATCCTTCAAGATAGGATTGCATTCTCACAGCCCATAAGTCATAACTTTCGCCACCAAAAACTGGAATAGCGACTTGTGAAAAGTTTCTTTCTCCTTCCATTGTGTCAAACCAAAGCTCAGATACCAATTTGTTGGGTTTTTGAAGGGTTATGTGTATATGTATTTCTGATATATCATGTGTGTATATTTCTATTCATGTACTCTATGTATATATAGAGTAAAAATATTACAAAATATTAAATATTCATAATATCTCAATCATAACAGTCTAAATCAGAATAATAATCTAATGTCTTTTTACCTTCTCTCTCAAAAGATAATAAAATCTCTTAATACCTAATTTAAATAAAAGATAATAAAGTAATATTTCCAACCTTTCCATCGTAAAAAGAAAGTATTATTTCCATGAAATTTTTAATAATAAGTAATTTTTTAACATGATAAATTACCTGATAATCTAATTCAATCGTCAACTAGCACGGGATTTTTTTCTTTATCAATTGTTTAAGAACCAAAGAAATATAAACATAATCCAAAATTAAGAGAAATCATGCAACAAAAAAAATGTTACAAAATAACAAAAGCAGATAGAACAGAAAGGAAAACTTTCGATCTATTTATTGTCCTGTTTTGGGACAGCTACTGCTTCTCTAGGTGCCCAAAGCTTTAGTTACATGGGCCAGAACTTACATTCTGTAATAAAGTGGGTGAGAAAAAAGTAATTAATAAAATCAGTTGTTGATGGGAAATTCACAGTTGATATTTCAACATATTCATTATTTATAAATGGATGTGCCCGTAATGTTAATACTTTATCTTTTAATCCAAGGATAATAGAAGTACTGCAAAATTCTTTGCAGCTGATCCAATGTTTATTAGGGAAATATTTTCGAGGCCACACCCGTCTTGCTGAAACTGTTACATGTAAACCATCCGATTATAAGTTAAATTGAATTAGATAAGCAATGAAGTCACTTCCTTCATTAAATGAATTTTAGTTAAAAGGCACTTTCTTGGTCAATCCATTTGATATGGCAATCTGACAACTTTAGAGGAAATGTTGAACACAAAGCATTCTTATAATTGGAGTCTCAGGCTTTTGCTTCATTGATATACAGTGTTTGTCAGTCTTGCAATCTTGTCTTCACTCCAACATAGTTTAGGATGCTGTCTTCAACTTGGGTACCCATCAATATTATTCCTGCTCCAATTGTACAGCTATAACTTCGATTTTGGGCTACCCTTTTACCTTTTACGTGAGCAATTGGTAGTGTGGTTTAGTAGATGCAACCAATGCAAATAGTTCTCCTCTCACCAATAACGTTAACTATATTTCTTCAAGTTAACAATTTCTTCAGGTGTTTACTTGCTTGTTAAGCTTCCTTGTCTTCACCGCCTAACTAAATGTCAAAAGCCTAACACTTGTTTTTGGCTAATGGGCAATTAAACTAACAATTTTGTCTCATTTTCAAACAAGACAAGCCAACACATGCATGCTATAATGGTTATTATATGAACAGTGAACGACCATAGTGCTCTCTCTAATGTATATTCATACACGTAAGTGGCTGAGTTATTCAGAATTCCTAGTTGTGGTCGTGACATTTTATTTACGCAAGTGTTATTCGTGGTTATTTAATCGCAGTGAAGCCTTATCTGTAAAACAGAAATTAACGTTATCCATTCGATAACATTCCTTAGTTTCTTTTTGATACTAACAAAGGCGTGAATGTAAAATACTTAACATTTGTAGAATACGTCTTAGGTGTCCTATATAGGCTAAGCATGTTCATACCACGATCCTCAACCATCCTCTTGCAAGTAAACGGAATGGGAATTGTCTTTTCATTCTGTTGTTCTGATGCTTATTTTAGACGTCAAAATTCGCCTAGGGAAGAGGACTCATATGAAAAGGTTAGCTTTATAGTATCGATTGTCGAAAATATCAAGCAAAATTATTTTATGAGGAAGAAGAGAGTGCAAGAGAGGAATAAAGAAGGGGAGCAGAAGCAACAGAAAATGGGGCAGGAACTCACATTAGAGGACTGGCTTCTAAAATCACCAATTGCGCAAAAGTATGATAACTGCAATGGTGATCATTGTGGTTTTAAACATCGTTCTAACAGTGATTATCGCTCAGTAGCTAGAGAAAGTGCCTATTTTTCTAACTGTGGGGAATGTAGCTTGTCTTTGGAGCAACTCCTGAATGATGGTGATTATAGAGATTTTTCTGCGGGCTACAGTATTTCTTTGGAGAATCTTTTGAAAGATGAAAATGTTGATGAAAAAGAAACAGGGTTTAATTCACTGACTAGAAGCCACAGTAGTGAGGTGAGGAAAAGGGTGAGGTTTAGACTGCCAGAAGTGTCAGAGACTATCATTCTGCATCCATTAGAGAAGGATCTTAATGAGTTTTAGTGCATTAGTTTCTTTCTTCAGTCTGTTTAATGTGAGTTGTGATTTTACTCGTGTGGTGTGTGTGTCTCCTAGCATTTTGTAAAGTACGTGCCTGAGATTTGGAGTGCAAGAATAATGGATCAAAATCTCAATCAAAATTAATGATCCACCTTAAATTTGATTGTAAGGTTCTAATCTAGTTAAATAATATGTGTATATAGGTGTTTCAGCATTTCATTTCTATCAGCATTCAAGGTGCAGAGAAGAAAGGAAGGAGCACAAGGTAGTTTGAATTTGTTCCCATTTTCTGGTGCGATAGATTCGAGCAGAACTTTAGTGATCCTCTTTATGGGACATTACAGTCTTTCCCACTTTCATGTTGGATTCATTTTAGTGAGTTTTCTGTATCATATGCTTAAATATACCAAGAACACTTTTCACCAGCTGATAATATCCTGTTTGTTTTTTCCTGTTATTTTCTGTTTGCTCTAATAGGTAGAGTTCCTGTTTCTCCTTCTCTGAATAACTCTCTCTTTGGTGGAGTTTTTGTTTTTCTTCCTTCTAAATATTATGTATATATCAGATTTTGTTCTTCGTCATAGCAGCCTCATATTTAGTAATACATGGTTGACATGGCTCAATAAATAGTTACAGCCAGCTAATATTAAAAAATGTGCTAGAACAAGCAATAAGTTAAAAAATTTGAAAAACAAAGTCGTTTAAATTACAAAGGAACATAATAAACCATTTTCTACCTATTAGATTGTCTTATGAAATATTAAAAGAAGATTTTAGATTGACCAGGACAAGGAAGAAAGGAAAATTTGACTAAATCAAATGGCCTATCCAACAACCCAGCATGTTAGGTACAAGTTCCATTCATACAACTTTCACAAGATATGGACAATACAACACGTATGCCATGTAGAGGGAAAATTAGTTCAGAGGCAAGGGAACATAAGTCAGAAAGTGCATAATGCATAGCAAGTAATTAGAGTCAGCAATATGACAGACAAACAACACGCAAAAGAGGGAGAAAACAATAGGTTGGAAGTGGTCAACCTCTCTTTTCTCTTTCTTTTGTGCATTCTGACTCCTCCTATGTGGTCACACAACACACAAAGAAAAAAGGGGAGAAAATGGTGGAGAAAAAGTCTTCGTCGTCTGGTTATCTTCTTCAAGTAGCAACCATTTTCTCTCTAATCATTGAGCAAAAGAAAGGGATGCAACTATGTGAAAGAACTGTAGTTGCTCTAATAGCTCTTTGGCATGGGTAGTAGCTCTACGTTCCACTCTAAGAAAAAGTTCCTCGCTTAGTTTGTCACCTATGTGGGCATCAACAAGGACTCCACACACAGTCCTGCAGCTGTTGGCTAGAGCTCTGCCTACTTCACTTGCATCATCTGGTTGGTTCACCACAAGTGGACTTCCTCCTTTGAATACCTCAAGCTTGTCTATGGAAAATGAACCATTTGCTTCAACCACCTCCTTGAAGTCTTGCAGGCTTGCTGCATAAACTGGAATGTTAAAACTGTCTCGTTTTTCTTGACTAAGCAGTCCCTGAAATCAAGAATACAGTTTAGTTAACTAGCTTTTTATGTTTGTTTTCTGACTGAGAAACTGATTTTATGGCTCAGAACGTGATTTCATCAGTCAGAATCAATTGTAACAGTTAACCAAACACCCATTAAGTAACTTCGGTATTAGATTGAAAGGCAATGTAGCAATTATAATGAGTTTTTATACTCAGTTACTTTGGTTAGAAAAAAAAAACTCCCTAAACATGTTACTTCAAAATAAATTTTATCAACAATTAAGATCTACTCAAAATGAAAGGCAGTGTATACTCAAAATTGTCCTCATATCTTTAGTGTTAAGTTTGTAAGTGAGATTTGTTTGTCATATGTTGAGTGACTGACATTGTTCCAAGTACTGAACACATCCTATTATGTAGGTGTTGTTATATTCTGTACTTGATCGATTACAGTTTTGGAATTTGGAAGTGTAACATGGTAGAGGATAATTGTTAGAACAGAAGTACATGGCTTTGACTCTGTGGAAAGAGACTGTTGGGTCCCATGGGGTATGATGATTGTATGAAAATTGATGAGATGAATGTATATCCATTTTGTCTATAGCTTTAAGACATGATGATGTGATTCAGTGTTTGTTCTAAAGTGTGGATATCCAAAGCCTAATTGTTGGTCAATATTATGGACCACAAGGCACTGCCAGCCGGCAGTTAATTATTATTTATGCCGACATGATGATCAAGAAATGGATGGCTGGATGAATTAGGGGTGAATAATCAGCGGCTGGGACCAATCTATATGAAACGTGGCCAGTGAAAACTCATGATAAGTTGTGGTGATGCCTACAACACTTGAGCATTCTGGTCTTTTAATCTCTACAGTGTCTCCAAACCCTTTTTGGTCAGCCAATGGCAAATAGAGGCTATGTGAAGTGGCCATCCACTGTTCACACAAGCATGCATAAAAATGTTTGTGATTATGATAATTACCTCTTGGACAAGATCATCCCAAGCATCCTGAAAGTGGGTCCCAAAAAGAAGGCCTGCCCCACCTTGGTCTGTGGGGTCCACTGAAGTTCTGGCCAAGCAAACTAAGAACATGGACCCCTCTCTCTTCATCTCCACTGACCTTGCCTTCAGAAAGCCTGCCAAGTCTGTTTGGAATTGTTTCTTGTAAGCATTTGCTGTGCTCTCATCAGCACCATGGATAAACACCCTTCCTTTGTTGTATGCACTTGACCTCTTTTCCACTACACTTTCTGGCACCTGCACTCTCCCAACCAAGATAAATATAATTCAAACAAGAGTGAGTAAATATCCACTATTTTCTTTTACAGATACTACAAATGATTAACAATAAAACTGCATACTGTTAAGCAAGAAAATCACAAAATTTTGTATGGTAAGTAAATGTGAGTGACCAATAAATAAGCAGCGAATAGTACACACTTTTACAGGGGGAATCCCAACTCCAATTGTGTCTCTTTTGGTGATCAAATATTCTATGTGCTGGCCCCATATATTATTGAAATTTAGGATGCATGAAAGTGGAAGAACATTGGGTGCTTAATGCATGCATTGGGAATTACTGTCCAAACACGTTACTTGTTTCCCTGAAATAAGGTCCTTTTTTTCAACCCTATAGGCCATGGGTTTGCTGCATTCACTTTTTGACTATAAATTATGACTTAGGGCTTCAAATTAATGATGGTTTTTACTATCTTATCCTCGGGAAGAGGCAAAATATCCCTTTCATTTTGTCGTGAAAATTACATAGCACACGACACACAGGAATAGAATCTTTTTTTTTTTTGGGTAGGTTGGGAGTGAATTAAAAGTCTGTGAACAAGAAATTGATTTACAGGGTTCATCAAATTAGCGTAATCGTGATCCACCAAAAGTCTCCAAGATGTGTGCCATACCTTAAAGTTGGAATTCTAATCGAAAGGTTTATAAAGATCTTGGACAAACGAATGATGAAAGATACACATAGAATGATTAGAAATAAATTATGATTTTGTGTAATAATTTAACCACTTCAATTGCAAAGAGAAATGAATGAATTAAAACTTTTTAAAAGTAAGAGTGAAGGTATCCATTGAACTTTCTATTCTCCCACAAAACAGAAAAACCTATGTAAAATAATCAATTATTTAATTTGAGATTTTTTTTCAGAATAGTTAAATAAAATATCACTATTTTTCTTCTTTTTAAACATGTTCATGACAACTTTATCATTTTCTGCAAGTTTAAGTATCTAGAAATAAGAAATCAAATTTAAATGAAGTGATAATTTGACAACTTTTTTCTGGAAAACATAAAAGAAAAACACAAACCAAAAGCCACAATTGATATTAACAATAAAAGTGTAAAAAGAATATTTTTAATAGATATATATATATATAGAAGATAATAATAACAGTATTAGTCAATAGTAGGAAATTATAATGAGACTTCTCTTGATTTTATTTTATTTTTTCAAATCCACGTGATATCTTTTTTAACTTTTTTTTAGTAACCAACCCCTTACAAGTTATAGAGAGAGAATAGTGTGGTCTTTTAGTATAAGATAGGGTGTATATAATGTATGTTAAATGAGTTAAGTGAATTTGGAAGGATAAAAGTGTGATTACCCTAAAAACATAGAATATTAAGAGAGATATTAATTAACAAGCGTTAGTTACCTGAGAAAGCCAGTGCAAAGAGAAGGCTGAGTGGAAAACATCCACAGACCTGGCCGGAAAAAGCCTCCGGTAGAAAGAACCGGGGACACCGGCGGCGAAGTAGGAGCGGTGGTTGTTGGCGGCAAGGCATTCTTCCATGCTGACGCCATAGTTGGCGAGCGGAGGAAGGAGCTGAAAGAGTGTGTTGAAGTCATTGCTGGGAAGGTCTGAGAAGAAAGCTGAGAACTCTGGTGGCTGCCACCCCAATACCTCGTACCGTTTCATGACGTGCTTTATCATCACATCCACCACGTTTATGGTGTTGCTCCCACACGAACACCCCAAGTCCACCACCACAAACGGTACCTCACGTCCCTCAACAAGCTCAACTCTGTCTAGAGTCTCTCTCAGAAGGTGAAGCATCGACCTCGCATGTATGGCCTGCATGTGAATCAGTGCTTGTCATGTACTCTCATATCTCATCAACCATACCTTCATTCATTGTTTTGCTATAAGCAAAATAATGCATGTTTTGGCTTTAGTATTTGTGATTGTGACCAACAAAACATATGGGGTACTTGTTGTATGCATGTTATTATTATGTATGCAGCACTTTGTTTTATTTATTAGCAAAAATGAACAAGATAGAAGTGGTTGAATATGGTACCTGTGCTTGGGAATTGTTGGCATAGCTGGCTTCTCCTTTGCCTCCTTTCATGCTGAGCAACCTCTCGAGTTCCATGTTGGACACAACAACATTGTCTCCCATGGGAGCCATGATTCAATGACTAGGTATAGCTAGGTCTTAAGTGACAGCTGTGTGAGATGAATGAGTGAAATGAGGAGAGACAAAAGAAAGAGTGTTTGGAGATGTGAGAGTTTGGGAAACTAAGAGGCTAGAGAGTTGGTATATATAGACAGTGAAGGGGGCTACTTATTATTATTATTTCTTCGATGTATTATGTTAACTTGTGCTGTTAGCTAGTAGATACAAATGCCAAGCAATCGGCAATTATTCTTTTTTTGTTGTTGTTATCATTATAAATAAATTAGAATCTCAGAAAAAGTTAAAAGCAGAGAATGTGGGCCTCATCTGCAACACAGAAGGCCCAAAACTGGCGCCGGATATCTTTGTTTACATATGAATATAGATTTTGTTTCTGAATTCTGACCAAAACAAATGAGAGTTTAGACTTTGTTAGCAAGATATTAGTTTATCACACGGCCGAAAAGCATTAATCAGGAATATAAAAACTTCATGACCAGTTATTGGGTTGAACAGAATCTAAATTATAAATTAAAGTTTATTATATAGTGTGTATAAATGATACAAAAGTATCTGATTACATCAATTAGTCCTATGTATACTCTGATATCAGAATGTCATTCGATTATATTATCTGGAAAAGAAGTTCTAAATCATAAGTCAGTAAGTGCAATGCAAAGTTCTTCATCATACATAGCCTTTTTCACCTATTTGTATATATATATATATATATATATATAAAATAGCTCAATGCATAATGATGCAGCTAATTAAGCAGTTTAGATTAAAATATAATGTTAGATTATTGAGTAATGATACGTATTTTAAGGAATCAATTAACCATCTGCATACATGGTGAAAACAAAGAAGGTGGCAATAATGGTTCCTAAGGCTACGTAAGTTTCTTTTCATTTGCCCAAAGTTTGCGATATAAACAATAACAACTTAAATTGATTACTCTTTACTAAGCAACTTTTACATTTTTGTATTAGGTTTATTCTTGTAAGGAGGAGATTGATTACTTTTGTCGGCTATTTAGGGCTTTATTATAAAATAAGGAGAGTCAAAGTAATCCATAAAAAGACAAACATGATTAATTATTTCATTATTAATTAAGTAATCACCCCAGAAATCAAGGTTGAACAGTTTGTACCTACCAAAACGAATAAATGGGATAGTATTTGTTTTGTGGGATGTAAATGGTAATCAATTAAGTTATAATCAGCTTCAAGCTACCATAAGCATTTACTCATGCTTTACTTTACTTTTGTTTTGGGTTGTATTCACTTTATTCTCTTTTCTGTTGGTTATAAATCCTTTCATTTCATATTTTCCTGCTTAACGGCTAAGAAATTTTAAGCCCTCAAATTATGGCTAAAAAAGAATGGTTTGTAAATTGAATATTTTTGCTAAAGCATAATCAGAGTATCTTACTTTCTGAAATCACAATTCACATGCATGTCCTCAGAGATGGTCTTTGGTTGTTATATGGGAAAAATGCAACAAGAAACTTCAAAGTAGATGCCCCAAAAATTCAGTGTTGCTTAAGCAGTAAAACCTTTTTACATATATGGTTAATAAAGTTCATTTACTTATAATGTAAAACCTTGCTTTCTCTTGTTTAATGAAGACCCTCAAAAACAGTTTAGAGAAGCAATAGTTCTGGAATTTTATTGGTCAAAAGAAAGAGTATTATTTCCAAATTGCCAAGATTTCCATATATATATATATATATATATATATATATATATATATATATATATATATATATATATATATTAAAATAAATGACAAATTTTTCAGTTTCCTCATGACCTTGTCTTGGAAAGATTAATTAAAAAGTTTTTATCTCTTTCTTTTGTTTATTACCTATTGTTTTCTTTTGTTTTCCCTAAATATGATTAATTAATCATATTATCAAAGTCTAGTATAATATTCACAAATAATTTAATCTCTTATTGTATATATTATTGACTATATAGAGTACCCTTTTTAGTCAAAATTATTCTAACAAGAGAATGAAAAGTGGACTGAAGTGCAATATATTTGCATCTATGAAGATGTGGTAATGTAAAAATTATTTTGGGAATAGTTTTTTTTAATATAATGGTGTTGAACCATACAATAATTTCCACCATTTTTCTTATCTCTTAATATTTGGTTTCAAAAGTTGAAAAAATATGATGCAGGAATATGCTTTCTCAGCTTGGACAGAAAATGGTGTGAACAGGCATATATTTACAGAATTATGTGGTGCAGGTTGGAGCTAGCACTATTAAGCTCTTGGTGACAAGGTCATAATGCATGACGTTCAAGAGGGAGCAGTTAATTTGATTCGGTCTGAACCTGGATATATTTGTTTTACGCTGAATGTGGTTTTTATTGTGCTCTGTTTGGACTATGGACTGCATTGACGCCATTAATATTATTTTTAGCTGTCACAGTATGCCATCATTTTTTTATCATTTTGTTTTTGGACAACTTGTTTCTTTTCTTTTAACCTTTTTCCTTTTGGCCATGACACAAAGGTGGAGAACAACACCACAGTTAACCAATCGCTAATCCTCTTTTATTTAAGGAGTAAGTATGTTTACAACAAATGAATTGTATTTGGTGCAGTTAGATGTTTCAAATACAGAAACTATTTTGACATGTTATACGTATAAGTTTAAGTAAAAATTCTGTCAAAAAAAAAAAAAACAATGGTTTTAAGTTGTAGCTGATTTGAATTTTTTTTTTCGAGCACTAACATATTAACCCTAAATTTCATACTTCAATATATAAAACCTTGGTCTTACACAAAATAGTGTGCAATTTTATTCTTCTGATAATGATGTGACGTATAGATAAGAAGTAAGTTATATAAGAATTTGTGACCTATAACATTCATGATTTGTAGACGATAAATAAAATGGAAGTCATGGCGCTTAACCACGAATTGAGTTGAGATAATGAAATTATGATCACATCATGAATTAGGGAAACTTATGTTTTGATTCAAGGCTTCTCTATGTTGCCATTAAAATGGCATTAGGTTATCGGTATATGTTTTCATATAAGTGATGTTTAGCTTTTATGACTTTATCAAAAACATCTTTATAAAGAAAAATCTCATTAAGTCTTGAGTTTAAACAATAATCTTCTTAAAAGTCACTCTTCTAATATAAATTAAAGCTAAAGTTTTGATCACTAAACGTGATTTCACCATATCTTCGGATTCTGCATTATAGGGGTCAAATTGTAGATTTAGGAAATAGAGAGAGAGAGAGAGAGAGAGAGTGAGATGTCGAATAGATTATATTTTTCACTACCTCAATTATTTACTCTTGTCACAAAAATGAAAAAAAAAAAAATGCACTCATTGCGATCGACTGATTTTTTAAAAATTTGCATCCATGAATAATGAAAGGAAACGTAGGCTACAAATTAAGAATGAAAGCAAAAGTAAAAACTTTGTTTTCGAAATTCCATTAATTATTGAACTATGTAGGACTAGGCTTTGAGACTAATTTCCAGATATAGGTTGAATGATCCTAGGAGTGCATGTAAAATTACGCAATCTGAATTTTAAATTATCCCTTCAAAAATGTAATTAATTTAACTAACCGCATCAGTTATTGTCCCACAATACTAGTTTTTGTAGGGTTTCACACTAAACTATAATATTATATATCTAGCCTTATTAAGAACAACTAAGAAAAGATAGGATCAAGTTACAGGGTGCAAATCTGAACGCTACAAAATTATGTGATTTTGACTCTCTTTTTGCACATATAAACACACAAGGCATATATACGCATATAGTCTTTCACAACACGCCCCAAAAGGTGGTGAAAAAGGCATCAATATATATCAGAATTTCTAAGGCACTATGAGACCTACCGCCCTCTGAATCCAAAAACTTGGAATCTTTCTCATCTGACTTTCCTCTAATGGCCCCCTCCTCCTTTTTCAGCTCCTTCTTCATAGTCCAAACCACCGTGATAGGCGCCAATTACTTGAAATAATATGCAACCACTTTTCTTCTTGCAGTTTACGTTCAATACCGCCTTGTAAAGAATACTCGCAGAACAATTTTTATGCTACTCCTTTTGCATTTGGTTATTCTGCATATTTTCATTGTTATTATAAGAATATTGTTAGTGTGAGTTGGTTTTACCTAATTTCACATTCTAATGGATGTTCCGCAGGAATTTCAATCTCTCAAAAGATGTGTCAAACATACCCTCAGACTTCAAAATTATTTGGCTTGTTCTCATTTGGATAAATTAAAAATGAAGTTTACGTACATCTAACTAACACTTATAATTCTCATAATTAAAGAACACTTTAATATGAACTGATACCTACTATTTGCCAAGGTTAAGAAGATCTAAGTTTATAATTTACCTTCTTCGTCTTCATAGTTTGAATCAGCAACTATTTAGCTGAGTGGTTTAGGAATTATCACTATCATTTTTTAAGTGAAACCAAAATAATTATGATTGTGCAGGATACCTTTAGTTACTAAATAAGGTGATTGAAGGAAAGAGAAAGGGAGAGTTTTAGGCCTGGAAGAGATGTCAAAGACATGGTGGGATGGTCAAAGTTGGTAGTTATTCCCCTTTTGCATATATTCTTGTGCAGCGTCTCCTCTGCATAGGTTTTCTTGCGTGAGTGGCCCTTCTGCTTCCAAACATCAAATTTTGACTTTGGAGACAGGTGGATGAGACCTTACCATAAAGTAGAATAAAAGTTTAATACTTGTGGTTCATGTTTGTGCTTTATTGCTAAATCCTTCCCCCCAACAATGTGGTTGTTTAATTCTAGGTTAAGCTTTACAAACTCAAAACTTCAATCAGTGATATTCGACCATTAATATGTATGTATATATATATATATATATATATATATATATATATATATATTTATTATACTATATTACTTATCATATTTATATTTATATTTCTCTCAGTTATATAAAAAATTAATGTCTATATACAATATACTATCTTATATGTTTATTTTTTCTGTTACATCACACTTTTTTTTTCTCACATCGATCTCTGTATATAAAAGTATATGTTGGGTAATTTTGCTGTAGGAATAAAATTTCTCTTTCCTATTCACTGTCTAGCCACATAGGCATCTAGATTGGGCATATTTTCTAAAAGAATGAAGTCATGGATGTGCAAATTGTATCTAAAATATGTTTGAGTGTAACTGTAGAAAGGAACAAGGACCCCAGAATTATTGAAGAATGGCAGTTATTGGTATGAAACTTTTCAGGCAAAATGCAGCACGGAGCGGTTTGTGACGACAAAGAAGAGCATAAAATATGTTTGTTTTTTTAGAAAAGGACATTTATTAGGTAGCATATAGGCTTTGCCTATTTCTTATATCTACATATCCACGTTCATTGTGTTAACTCTTACGTGGTTTTTCATTCCAATTAAGTGAGTCTAAACTGTGAAGAATAAGCAAGTAGTATAGTGCCAGAATTGAGGTAAGCATCCACATGGCTATCAAGTATATAAAATTTCATAGGGTTTTATTCACATGACGGTGTATAATCAAGTTCATCATATGATGATGAACAAGTTAATTTGAAGTTTGAAGTTGATCTTAATGCTTTGCATGAATGGATCTACTTGAAGCAACCATCTATACATCTATATAGGACCTGCTCCAATTCAATGATATTGGGAAAGAAGGATATGTGCATGGAATTCAGGAATTTTACTTTTATGCAAGTACCGATTCCACGAACTATTAGGACTAATGAAGAATTGTAACGTAATCAAGGAGTCTATTTGGAGGAAAATCTTTGGTCCTATTGTTTGACTCAATGTAGATTAATCATGTGTAAATAATATTTGGATGTGTAGATTTATACCAAAATATAAAAATGTTCACAAACACGATGCTCATACAAATGGTTTATATATCTCTTCCAAAGTGAGACTTTAATGTCTTGATATCGTGAAGCTACTTCAACTGTTTTGTCTCTATTTTCATTCGATTTGACGGCATTAATTATTTGTATATACTAAAAAACTTAGCCCGCTAGGGTGGTAATGCTAGTTGTAGGGATTAATAAAATAATATAAACTAACACATTGATCATTGTTTTTTAAAAATCTCATCTTACTTAAAATTGTTGATAAACATTAAATAATTGAAACCCAATTAAAACTGATGAATATTAATGGAGTGAGAGATGAACGCAATATTTTGATACACATGACAATATTATGTGAAATTTCAATACGGAAGAATCTACTCCCTTTTGATACATTTTTTTCCTAACGTAAATGGAACCAATATCGAAATAAAGATATTGTTTTTTAAATATTTTCTTCAAGTAATTATTAGTAGAAATATTTATTTATTTATTTAGATATTTGCAGGTAAAAGTTGGTTCATAGTTGGATTAACCCGACTAACATAAAAGCTATGAATATTATGTTAAATTATGAAAAGAGATTATAAAACTCAAAAAACTAAATAAAAAATTATGTACTCTCTAATTTAAAAAATTTCATATAAATATTATTTAGTTATACATTATTATTATTAATTAAATTGTAATTTTCGATATCTTAAAATAACTATATATCATATGTACATTTACAACAAATTTTTAATTAAATCAATAATAATAACGCATAGCTGATAATTTGATAGGGAAGATCAAATCATATTCTAAGTGGGCAATTTGTAAAATTGGGCAATCAATATCAAATAGACTTCCAATTTTATTCTCCACAATCAACAATCTAGGACATCAGCCTTCCGTTCAAAAACCAATTCTAGACCTGAATTATAATTTTTTGTGAGAAAGTTGAAAACTATTGTCCAAAGATGAAAAGAATGCTTAATAAGTCGTCCACCAAGTAAAAAAACGCAGTTGCATCAAATATTAGATCTAAATGAAGTGAATATGCTAGAATCAAGAAATATAATCTATTTTATAAAGTGGACGATTTGAACTTATTATTTTTACTGAAACACCTGTCGTAAACAACACTACCCAACTAATCAAATAAATGTCCTCGGCCGATAATAAGTTCAGCCAGCAGAATCTGAACGCCTTGGCGACAGCTAGAAAAATCATTCACTGGTCGCCAACGTCATCCAATGGTTATGCATTTTAGAAGAAATGGCTTTTGTACAGATGAAGTATCTTACAATTCAGCAAGCTAAGGGCACTACAATGATCTAATTCAAAGATGATAATGTGATTATTGGGCCTAAAGCGCCTAATGCCCGAAAAAGAATTATACAGAATGAATATCTATCGGGAAAAGAACTACCAAAGCGAAAGCTAAACTACACAGTCCACACAGCTCCCTTCAGCTACATATTTTACATTAAATGCAATTCATGCAGAAATGATGGATCATTCTTGTACGAGGAGGAAATGTCGCTGCAATGTGCCTTATAATGGGTCTCAGGAATTTTAGTGCAAGCTCAATCACCCACCAATACCTGCATCTAAACCAAAACACATCAAAGATCAGCACAGGAACTGGGACGGAGAGAATCAAGAGTGCAATAAAAATTAATACTAAAGAAATGGCAACAAGACATTATTTCTTATTGAAATGATTAAAACTCAAATTACAAGTGAGATTAATCAAAAAGAAAGTAGAACCTAGACTTCACAAGTTTCAATAAATTTCAACCAATAAATAATAGTGTATTAAGAAAGTAGGGTTTGATTGCGCAATATTTATTTTGTGCATGGACATAGCCTACTGTTCGCTTCCGACTAACCAGGCTCAACTAAGGGCAGTGTCGGAGCCACGAGTGAGGTGTCACGCCTCCCTCAAATTTTTATAACCGATTTATATTTCTATAATTTTATCCTTCCAAATTTAATAATTATTAAACATACTTTTATATATATATATATATATATATATATATATATATATATATATATATATATATATATATATATTAAATGAGCTCCATTTATTTTTTTTTCATAAATATTAAATTAAACTATCAAATATATTAAATAAAAAATATTTTATATCCTCTCTTTTTTTCATATTTTTTTATTATTTATTAATAATATTAGCCTACTGATTGTATAAAATTGTTTCATCCATTAGTTAACATCTAATGTTAAACAAATATTAATGCGACAGTATCGTCCAGGGTCATTTTAGCATATCCACACTGACATTTTTATCAGATATTAGATGTCAAGTTAATTAGTACAATTAAAATAGTCGACGAAATCAAATTGGTGAAAAAAAATGGGAAGACCAAATTTGAATTCTGATGATAGTAGAAAGATCAAGTATGCAATTAAGCCTAAAAGGTATACATTGCTTATACCCAAGATACCTTGTGACAAGTAAAACTAAAGAGTTTTTAATAATCGCTAACATCAAATCAATGACAGATAGATTATTTTAACAAAGCCAATTCACATTTGAAAATTAATCTGGTTCTCTTCATGGAAGAGTACAAACGACAGACTTGCTAATGCACACCTTCTAACACATTCTGCTATTACTTAATATTTATTAAAAAACACAAACCAAGAAAGACTTTAAAAAGGGAACGGAACCCACAGATTTGTAATTTTTAATAAATTTCAACTAATAGTACAATGTGTTTAAAAGAATGTCGAAAATTTAGTATTTATTTTCTTCATGTTCAACAAGTTCAGGTAGGTCCCTAATATAAGAAAAAGTTCTGGGGCAGGATACCTCACTCTTGTCCCTAAGCTCCAACTCAAAATGTTCATGCCACTTTGTTTCTTTGGGATGCTTTTCTTCCCTAACATCCCTTCAAATATGTCTTCAATATTATTTTAAAGGTTCAAGTGACCATGTATCATATGTCCGGTTCAGAAGGAAACTAATTATTCTAAAACTGCATCGTCCAAGTTTATCTATAGCAATATGTTATGCATTCTTCAATTTACAACTTAATGTCTATGAAGCCGAAGTCCCTAATAAATGAATCAACTGGGCTCAAGTCTGCTGCTTCCTCTATATTAATCTGTTCTTGGTCTGTCCCACACTTGAATTCACTTCTGTTCGATACATCTTTCACCCAAAATTATCATGTAATGTTTTTTGTCAAAAAAATCACACATAGCATGCACTAAACTTTTCTTGCTGGTTTTCTATTTCAATGTTCTGTTCTCTTCATGGGTGTTATTGTATTCAATATTTGACATCCCATTCCCGCTTGAAAATTCAAAAACCACAAAGACAGTGGGCTAATTTCAATTTGAAACTACTTGAAAATCCTCCTTGCTTATTATGATTGTTATCCCAAATTTCCAACTATTATCCCTTGTTCCAGATCAATTGTTTATCATGCAGATGAAGAATATGATTATCACATTAACATGTTTAGATTCTATGAATTTTTTCAGCATTGTTTTTGAAATGAGATAAAGTAACAGGCATACAAGTCCATGCTTGAGAAGTAAATTCAACCAGAATTCAGAAATATAGCCCCCGTGATCCAATGATTCCACGGTTTTACTATGGCACACAAGTTATTTAAAGGAAAGAAATATTCAGTAGATGCATTGCGATAAACAAAGTTTAAGCCAACGACTTGGACAAATAGTGGATCAAATACTCACCACAAAATTGCACTGTTTATGAAACCTAGAACATGTACGTCCATGACATTATCAACTGATTACAGGTTGAAATAACTTTTTGAATTCGTCATAAAACCACCTGCAAAACAAATCAAATAACTTAAGACAACTCAGAACAGAAAGACTAGAAAAATAAAAATCTACAAGGAAAAAATATCAACTTTGATCATATTCAGATTTTGTCCAGACTGATTAAGAAGCAGGTGGATATAGAGTAAAGTTTAATAGCCACACTGCTAGTCCAATATTTAAATGTGAATTCAAAATCAGAAGTCAAGCATCTAAAACACATAAATGGTGCAATAAAAAAGGGCCAACAATGCAAATAGGACACCATTCATTTTCCTTCTAAGCTAATGAAATTATTTCATCAGAACTTAGCATAAGAATTTTAATCCTAAATAGAGGACCATATCCACATAATAATATTTGGTAAAATATGGATTAATCGAATGTTAAAAGTTAGCCCATACATCAAATACGGCCTTGTTATGGGATTCTAAGATGGATAGGTTAACCTATTTGTCATCAAAAGTAGCTATTACCAAGGTAATTACTAGTGTGCAATGGCAGCACAGAGAGCCACTGGGCACCAAAGTCACATCCGGTGTCTCTAAATAGCCGGTATAGTGGCACAATTGTGCGATTGTTGCAAATCTCCCTGGATTCACGATCTTAACTACATCCACTATTGCAGCTGCAATGAGAGTCATGGTTGTGGCACCTTCTTGTCGTCATCGGTGAATATCCAACCAATTGAAATTTTGAGTTAATATTAATGCATTGTTCTTCCCGTACAACTTCGTTTTTCATACTTGTATAATTGATATATACCATATATTTCAACAGCTGCTAGGTGACTTCCACAATTTGACCACTACATGATATAGTGGATTATTACCTTTCTGCAATTGATAACACTAACCACATCATTGCATGGCCTTTTTGGGGTCACAGCCAAACTGCAAGCTTTTCACACAACCACAGCATGATTGTGATGGGTTTCAAAAACTCAATTTTGCCAGTGCTGTTGAGTCGATTACCATGTCCATAAAACTACCCTGCTCCCCAATTCAGAGCAATGTCGCAAACACCCTGCCCCTCTTCTCTTGCCCACTCACCCCCCACCAGAGAAGACACTACCTCTTCTTACAGAGCAGGCTGCTCCAGGCACACCATAGGGTGCCATTTTTGAGGTCCTATCTGTCCAGGCCAGATGGCTTTCAAAAGCCTCCAGAAGTGTTAATTTGTGTGCGGGGGGTGTTCAGGGTGGAAATTGTCATAGTCATAACATAACTAATACCACCCCCCCCCCCCCTTTCAGCAGGTTTTTCAAAAGACATCCCATATCTGGCCCACCAGAGACATCCAGGCTGCCCATCTCTCTTCTCACATTTTGCGGCAGTTTTAGACTTCCTGTTATTGTTTTTCTAGCAAGCTTGTTTTCCTTCCCCCTTTGGAATTTTTTAGCATTATGTAAGTATAGATTATTTATGTATACAAATATAATTTGAATAGGGGCAATTCCACAATATGCTATCCGACTAGTGCGTAATTGAGGTTGGCCATACATACATACAAACAAACATATATATATATATATATATATATATATATATATATATATGAAAGTTCCTTGTTTGTAATTGTCTTCTGGGTTCACTAACGAACAACACTATGCTGTGCTGTATCCAATTTTTCCAGGTAAAGTAATTATCCCATAAATTAAGCACTTTCTTCCATTTTTCCGTCCTATGAACCAAAGTTTCTTCAAATTGAAAAAAACTAGAGTTAATAGTTCCAATCTATGTTTATGTGAAAATTAAAGTAGAAAAACACAGCACATTCTTAATGCTCAGCCATTGGCAAGCAGCATGAAAATGGGTTTCACTTTCTAATTTCTCACCATTTATGGCAAAACTAAATCATAATTAAATCAGCTCTTTTTCTCTGTCCCTGTTTTCTATAATTTTCTACCAAGAAAATGATGAATTGTAGTCATATTTTCTACTTGATGACTGTTTTATAAATACAAAAATTTCTACAAAGTAAAACGAAGTAAATGGAAACTCCCTAGACTGATGGATGAATTTAAGGAAACAAACCTGCAAAGGAAAATGGGCTGTATTCTAGAACTTTCCACAATTCCTAACTGACATCGTCTGTCATTTTCTTGTTTAAATTTATCAGATGGGAGGACTTCACATGGGCCTCGAATAGAGCTAGCCATTTCAGTTCTATCACTATTAGATTCATAAACCTTCAACAAAGAAAACATATCTATAAGAAAATATCCACACGCAATACACAGTTCAGAATGGTGGAGGATGTCCAAGATGTGGGACATTGTCTTTTACGTGGAATATCAAACAAAAATAGAAATAACTATAGGTTAAACATTTAAACCAATAAAAAGTTTATGGTGTATAAGTGCACGTAGCTTTAGATAAAATATATTACAAACTGTACTTAGCATACTAATGACAAACTTTCACGCTCGCATGAATGCATTGATATTTATCTAAGAAAAAACAAAAATATATCTACTTATACAGATGGATGTATAAAAAATACCTCATTGACTTCAGATATACATGGATGACCAATATTCCCTGGCAAATCATCAGGAAAGTAGCACTTTGTCACCTTAACCCACTTTAACCCAGTTTGGCAATCTTCCCACATAGACTGGACATTAAAAGGGAATAACTTCCTTTGTTAAAAGATCTATAAATTAATAAAAGTAACATTTTACATAAGGGAGTAATCAATCAAACTTCAAAAGAAAGTGTAAAGTACACTAGAAACGTTTTTTGTATTCATATTACTTCACAATTTTTTCAGGTAAATTTCTACAGGTATTGTATAATAAATGGCTATCCTATAATGAAAGAAAGCATGATGATTTGCTTGCCTGGAGTTTAGCAGGGGTTAGTTTGCCATAGCTGGTGGGGAAAAGTGCATGACCCTGCAGCCTATACATTACTCCATCAACATAGCAAGATTGATAAAACTTTTTCTCATCTACAAGTTGTACTATATCACCAATCCATTCTACAGCATGTGAACTATCTGAAGATAATGCAGGGTGCTGTCTACCTTCAGTATTAGTTCCAGCAATTCCCACAAAGTTTGCAAGTGCAGAATCTTGGTCATCACGCTTGATATCGTAACTTAAATTTTCTCCTCCAAGAGATTCCTTCTGATTATTATTCATAATATTACCATCAATGTGTTTATCTGATGATACTTCAGCATTGTCTTTTAACATTGTCTGTTCAACTTGAAAATCTTGAGATGAATGCAAACTTTCACATTTGGCCAGCTCAGATAATTGAGGAAGAGACTCACATTCTGAATTCTCTTTACTGATCAAAACCTTAGAATTTATTTGTTGAGCAGAGCATTCACCTAGCAACCCAGTGGAAGGACTAGAAGCTGCACTAGGAGATTTTGTAAAATTGTTTGGATCAGGCTTTTTATCAATAGCTTCAATGCTGGAGGAAATGCCAATCCCTTGAATACCTTTGGTATCAGGGACCTTTGAGTCACACTGCAGTTCAACATTGTGATTGCGGCTGGCAACAGTTGGAACAGTGCTCCCATTCGTCGTTACTGTCTGCAGGACATTTGGTTCTATGTTCTCTGCTTTCTTCTCAGAATATGGTTGAATACCACCAGTATTAGAAGGCAATTTTGGCGGTGTGTTTGAGGATCTCATGACACGACCATATTTTGGAGGCAAAGGCTTTCCACCACTTAAACTCAAGCACCTCATACAGTGCCAATCAACTCTGTTATGAATTCCTCTCAAAACTGAGGGCTGCAGGCACTTCAAGTGAAATCCCTTTTCACAAGCATCACAGAGAAGTACAGTATCAACCTCATGAACACTGAGCTCACACATCTGACATGTCAAAGCCTTATTCATATAATCCCTTGATGGAGGAATCCAAGTGGGATGGCTGGGATGCTTTGGTTGTAACACTTTCTGAACAACCTTTGCAATATCAGTGTGACTAGGAATAAGAGGAGGCTGAACAATGTTTGTGGTCTGCAATGGCTGGACCACACTAGGCAAATTTACAGGAGCCGTTTGAGTGATAAATGGTCTAAAGCTCTGGTCTGTTGTCATTTGAGGCCCTGCCCTTGATACAGTTACGTCAGATGTTGCTTCAACCTTGACAGGCAACTTGTTTTCTGAAGCAGTTCTTGCTAATGAAGCAGCTTGGGTCTGTATAGACCATGTTGGAGCATTCACCAGAGGTTGGTTCACTGATGAGTTTGCTACAATTTAAAAGTTCTAACATTCAGCTACCAGTTCAATTTCATGGCTAAAATATCATAAGGTACACTTCTGTACACATTACAGAGATACCATACAGTACCAGCAACCTATCAAAAAATTGAGCAGAAAATGACAATACATATTTAAAACCTTAAAGCCAGTTTTTCATAAGTTACCTATAAAATAAAAATTCTTAAGTGGAAAAAATAGGAAGGAAACTCAATTCAAACTCTTCAAACAGAAACATCTTCTATGAGGTCATATCCATTAACCTCAAAATAGATCTATTGACCAAGATATACACCAATCCAGTAAGCTTTCCAGCTTCACCATTCATCACTCCATGACATACAGTGAAGAAAATCTTGTGAGTATATAACCATATAAATACAGTACTTTATTCTGAACATTCAGCTAATGTTATGCATTTTATTGCTTCCCAGTAAAACAAAATCTAACTTGTCAGTGTGTTGTATCTACTATACAACGAAAACATATTGCACTGTCAGTCATTCATCAATAAAAAATGTAACTCCACTGGTCCTTGGAAGTTGGACCCGGTAAGGAGCTTCAGAAGACAATACCTTGGACTTGTAGCATATAAGACCCATTTGATACTCCATCAACTTTGAACTGTGGATGTTCAACTTTAGGCAATACTATGGAAGATGAATTTCTCCCCAAGTGTCCACTAGGCACCGCACCAGGAACCACTGGTGGTCTTACTTCATTTCCTGTTGATTGGTATTGCAATACTGCAGAAGATCCAGCAGAGACATGGGGAGGAATAGACACTACGGTACCCATAGAAGGGATTGTTGGCTGGCTTGATTTATCAGAAGGAAAAATTCGAACATGTGATGGCACACGATTGTCAACAGGTCCACCAACATTTGCTTGCAAGGGCTGAGATGTATGCGCTGTGGGAGGTGTAGAAGGTGCAGAAAACTTCTTTGCTTCCTCCATCTAGGAACCAAAGTGGCAGTAAAGAAAGAGAAAATAAAGGGCAAAAACTAATGAAAAGAAATGTGGAGAGTCATTCTTAGCATTACATGTATACTATATGTACAGAAATGCTCTTATGTGAGCGCATGAAAAAGAATATACTTTTCATAAACAGTGTTCAACAATCCAACAAACTCAATAAAAAGCCCTCTCAAAGAGGTAGTTTAAGATTAATAGGCAAGGCAACAGAAAATTAACTGAAAATAACTCTGTACTAATCAAGCCTAAAGCTCATTAGTATACAATAATCTGGCCAACGATTCCACCTCAAAGAAATACAAAGCTTGCATAAGAATCAGGTGAGTTTCACAGTGCTAGGAACACGACATTTTTAGTCTGTGTTTAGTCATGCATTCATCATGCACATTATACTCATTTTCACATCAATATTGAGAAAAAACCATGTTTAGTCCCAACATCTTAGATGTGATTCCCAAATCTCGTATGTGATTTCAAAAAGCTAAGAGTTATAGCATTCACATCCCACACGCGTTTTCTTCCTTTTCAACAAGTTTCCAAACACAGCTAGCAGAAGATATTCATTATTGCTTCTAAAATACACGTACAGGATGCATGTCCACACACGCTGTTAACCTCATTTTCCTAACTAAGACACAATTCACAACAACAAAGATAAACGAAATGCTACTTAAGCACCAATCATAACAAGGTTTCACACGGATAATTATTCAAGAGAACAAGACACGCGACTTTTAAGCCTCACTCTGTTGTTCAATGATACAATGTTTCTCTCCATTCCACACACAATTTCGCGACATAACAAACAAGTTGAAACGACGGAGAGTGTAAATTGAGCAGAGAGAGAGATAAAGAGGGTTTGTACTTACCTTCCACTTAGCATGGGAATACCTCTCGGCAATGGACATCTTGGGAGTTCGAAACCCTAGCCTCTGGTCCTTAAGCTTGGAGTGCAATCCAAGATCCTCGATGACGGTGCCAATTGCTTCCCTGGCTACGATATCCTTGGGAGCCAAACCCTGGCAGAGGCTGGCGAGCTTGGAGCGCGCCTCTCTCATGAGCTCGACCTCAGCGTCAGAGGGCTTCCTCCCCGCACGCACCGTGGCCATGGTGGAGAGAACGAGGACAATCTCCGCCACTCTCTTCAATTCGGCGTCGGCGTCCACCTTGGGCTTCTTGGCGCAGCGCTCGTCGGAGTCCCCGTTCTGCAGCGGCAAGGACTGGACCTCCGGTTTGGGATCGGGGACGAGCTCCTCCTCCGTCTCCATGGGAGGAAAACCCTAGAGAGAGAGGGAGAGAGGAGAGAGAGAGAGAGAGAGAATAGAAGAGAGGTTTGAATTGGAGGGGGCTAAAGCTAATTAAAATTTTGGCGGGTAAGTGTGTTGAGAGAGATGAAGGCGAGGTTTGGGTTTGGGTTTGCGTTGCGTTGCGCGTGTGGGTAATTAGGTATTCAAGTGTATTGGGTGGGATGGGGTTAATAGTAGTGAGTTACGTTGAAAGAAAGAGAACGAGTTGAGTTGTGTTGCTGACCAGAGCAATCCCTAGATAAAGAGACGGCCACGCGGAATACAAAAGGAAACAAATTATGACTTTTAACACCTTCTACTTACATTTAAACTCCTCCCCTCACCATGTTTCCACCTTCCAGATTAAATAATACTAGTAGTTTTTAACGTGTAGGATAAATGTTTATTATTTTTTTTTCTTTATTAAGATAAACGTTCATTACGATTTAACTTAAATTTATAATAAATATTTTTTCAAATCATTAGTTACATTTTTAATCCTGAATTTTTGGGTGATTCGTATTTTAGTTTTCAATTTTTTTTAAAATATTTTATCCTTCAAATTTATATTAATATGATTTGAGTCTCTAAATATTACATTTTTTTTAATAATAGTAATCCTCCAAATTTAGTAATTAAGTGCTCAAATCATTTTTTTATAATTTGAAAAACTAAAATGATTTTAAAGACAAAAATGTTTAAAAAAAATAGTGTATTTAAGATATGTGAATAATTAATTAAATTAAGATACAGGGTTATTTTTTACCATTATTAATTCCTTTAAAATATTAAATTTTTTATAAATAAAGATAAAAAACACAAGTTGAAAGAGAACAACTTTTTTTTTTTTCTGACGGCAAACGGCGCTAAATTAATCAAAACACTCTCCTTTATTCCAAAAATTGTTGCTTTTTTTTATAAACCATATCCATGTTTTCTTTTATAATCCATGTACATTATTAGGACTAAACAGAGGTTTGAGACAACTTGACAATTAATTAGTTTGAAGTAGGGGTGCCAACTAAGAGATCAGGTTGAATTAGACAGAAAAACACAAATATGATGTGTAAGATGTGTAGAAACAAAAAAGTAAATATGACTTCACAAATTTACCTATAAAGATACCAATCCTTGATTAAAATAACAAAGAGCTTGCGAGGCATTCCAAATCCAATTAGGACGTTTGACTAGAGGCAATTTTTTCTTCAGGACAGCATGATTTACAAAAGGTAAAATCAGCTACACCAACGATGGAATACATAAAATACAAGAAGCTGAGTAATGGACTTGTATGCATGACATTCACTCTTCACACCTATCTGGACCAGTTGTTCATTACCTTATTACCACTTTATGATACATAAGCTGGTAGTTGTTTGAGATAATGGTCTCCGAAGAAAGAAACATCACTACACACAGTAATCCATGGGGGAGCATACAATATACGAGCATTCTCAAGAGCAAAATCATTAAGAATTGGCAATGGAATTCCCCTCATTAACTGTGTGTTCAGGTATGGTACTAGGACGGTTTTGAGGACGGCTGATGTCACAGACTGCAATGTTTGCACAGTAAAAGTGTAAGATTCATAATAATAGCCTTGATATACAATAACTAAGCTTCAATAATCATACATGTCAAAATAGAAATTGGTGTGCTTTATTTGTGCACATGAGGTTAAGTTATATTTGTGCCAAACCATTTTGCAGATTTTTGGTTTCTGAATGAATGGGTTGAGTGATATATGAAAGGCTAAATGAGGTTGAAAATTATTAACAGGTTTATCTGCTTATTGAATTATGGCTATTAAAAAAGATACTGCATGTTTCCCTCGAATTATTCTAGTGCTGTCATTTGTGATATCTTGGAAATAGACCAAAACAAAAACCTGACACCTTGAGTATATCACATATGTTCAACTAACTGTTGGCAGATGTGTCACTTTCTCATTTCATGTGACAATAATTCAAGTTTGTAAACCGATGTGATCTTCTAATTGATTCAGAAACACCCATGGTTGATTCCCTGTCCTAGAATAGTACCTTCAAAAGAAGGAATTATTTGGTCCTTTTGTTAAATTTCATCTGGTAAGCAGTTAAAAGAGCCACTTGAAGCACTAATGGGAAAATTGGTTGCAAGGCTTTTAGTCCTATCACCTAAGGGTGAGAGGAGATCAAGAAGAACATTGGAGAAAATTGTTAAAAAGACCTCATGACGAATAAGATCTTTAAAGGTTTAGCCTTTTATCCATGTAGCCGAGAAGTGGGATGAGACAATTTGTTGTCGATCAATTTTATCCAATTTCATATCAAAATACAAAGCTGCAAACTGAAAAGATGAATACATTTATTCCTGTTTACCTGAATCAGATTCATGTGCAGTTTCCCTATTTTGCTCCATTTCAAGTATGCGGAAAACTTTCTCAATTTAAGCCAACCAGCAAGATTGTTTCCTATGATCTCCGCAGCACAAGATGCACTAAAATCCTGTACCAATAACCAATGTTAATGGACAATATAATGAACTTGGGTCATGGCTTCCTATTTAACTCTACAAAAGAAAGAAAATGTAGAAGAAATATATTATTTATGAGGAATCATAAAACTTTAAAGACTTAGCATTGACTTTCATTAAGCTTACTTACCACCGAGATGCACGCAACAGGTATGACTTCACCAGTTTCTAGAACATTAATTATTATATCTATGGAAATTTTGACACCAACATCTTTGTTTGTCACTTGTATATCCGGTGGAGAAGATAAATAGATATTAAGATTCATGTCATCATTTGGATATTTCTTGTATAATTGAGGAATAAGGAATCTCCATTCAGCAGTGTTCAGAAGGTCCTGATCAGGTAGTTCATCAACAGTCCACTGCATGGTATCTGCCTGAGCGAACACAAGAACAGCATAAACCATCAAAACTATATTTCGGTTTACAATAACACAAGTATCCAACGCAACGGCTTTAAGTGCAAGAGGTTAATTGGAGCCACTTATTTAATACATAAAGCCTAGTTGGCATCAGCACTAATCTCTTCAATCCTACTGATGTTGTGGTGCAGTTCAGCAATACAAGGTCTATTAGATGTCAGTAAAGTTATCCTAATATTCCAAATTCAGAGAGATTCCAACAACACAAAGCACCCTACCAAAGGTTCCACCATCAAGTTTCATTATTAAAACTCCACTAATATGAATGAATAAATTATGCAAGATAGCATGCACACAGTGGAACAACAAGGATATTGTTGCTTCTGCAGAATCTAGATAATGCCAAAGCCTAAAGAAACAAGCAAATGCATCATGATTTAACAGAAACTCAGGGTGGAAATATGCAGCAAGTAATAAGATGCTATTATACCTCACGGATATAACTTAAAATGAAAAGCAGAATCGAGGAAAAAGAAATATCCATTTATTGGACTAAGCCGAGAAAAAAGAAGTACAAAGTTCAGAAACTTACAGTGAAGTAAACCAAGGAACCGGATTTGAAAACATTTTCATGTAATGAAATGGTTATCATCTGTGGTGAACGGTCACGGCGGGAAACAGAAATGTGTGAACCTCTGTGGTAACCTCGAGGTGCCAAAACTTCATTCCTCCCTGTGAACAAACCATTAATTTCTAATTCAATAGCAGAATCACTTACAACAGGATTGTCCACGAAAGAAACATTCAGTGCAGCTGTTTCGTCTAATGGGATAGTCTTTGGAAGAGATTGCAATAAAACATCAAGAATTGATATCCCCTCATTTATTTTCTCAGAAATTGCCTCTTCAACTGCAGATGCTATATTTCCTGCAAAAGCATCTACTAGCCTGCAATAAAATAGAAATTATTAGCATGATATCATCAAATATTAAATATATTAGGGTCTAGATACGAGTCAAGCTTTGGTCCTTTAGAAGAGACAACAACTCAGGAGGATATAAGAAATTTAGCTTTATATTCCCCAGAAAAGTTTTTGTTGCAGAAGATAATGGGACACAGTTATCTGCCCTACAAGATTCATGTCCCAAACTAAAGATTAAAATATTAGAGAATTAAACTGAAATATAAGTATTATAGTTATTTTCCAAGCCTCCCTATGGAACTGTGAAGCCTAAATCAGTAATAGAAGTACATTATTCTCTATCATAGAGCATGTGAAAGAGTTTCTAGTAATAAAAAACCATGGGTTAAGAAGGTTCCTTACACTTGGTAAAGCCAAGCTGCTCCACCGTGCAACTTTATGGATAAATCTCTAACATGACATCCAGAATCCAGGAGAAGCAACTTAAGAGTTCCTTCTTGATTCGTTAAATTCACAGTAAGTCCAACTTGTAAATCATTAACCTTCCAACATAGCACAAATGAATGAGGGATATTATAGACTAAGCAGCTACAAAAAAATATTATTTGCACAAAAAGTGCATTACTGACAAATTTTGGGCTATTAGACACTGAAATACACGTCTTTTATGAAATTTCAACCATAACCACAACCAGACAAACCAATTCTCATCAAAATAACAAACATCAGGAAAACACTTATTATTTAATTCAAGGTCAAACTTTCTTTAATTTAAGCACAATGCTACAAAGCAAATTATAAGCCATCAAACAAATCGGTGCAACTTAAGGAAAAGATATAATTTTTACTGTATCAACCAATTAGAAATCATGGTTAATATACATTTTAACATGGCTAGAATTCAACCGTAAACAGTTTGTAATTCGATGACACTTTACTCGGTCAGTGTGTAAACTAAGTATTCAAAGATAACGGATATAGTCCTCAGTACACAATAAAGTGAATAATATTCTGGATTCTGGATTCATACCTTTGCAGTTGCGGTTCCACTATCCGAAATTCCAATTGGGACTAACCAACTGCTGGCAGAGTACCTCCACTTGAAACTCAAGTTAGCAGTGGCACCTGCAACAACAAGAGCAATGCCTGTTTCTCCTGTATTAACAGATGAAGAATTTACTTGGATATCATTGATAGTGATTTCAGAAAGAACAACTTTGGCTTTTCCAACAAGAGGAACTTGGACATTCTTCTCAATCTGTGGCAGTTCAGACAGCAGAATAGAGGCAATAGCTTGGTCTATCAGAATATCCTTGGCAAAATCAAGACCCTTATCAGATATGGTGACAGAGATGAATCCCTCTTCAGGATGTTGGAGAACACCACTTGCAGAGGATGAAAGGAACAGAAGGGATAAAAGAAGGAAACATGAGGGTGCCATTAAATTTTTGCAGGTGGAGCCTTCTGAGAGAGATCGATCAAGCCAATATCATCATGCAGCCCAAGATACCGAACTTTGACTTGAGAAAACAAGTTTTGACAAGAGCAAGGTTAATTTTTCATGTTTATCTAGTGAAAATGAAAACTTGAAACCCACCAATGTGATGAAATACTATGCAAAACAGTTATAAATTTTGTTACTATTTTATCTGTTGAATAATAATGAATTAATTACTATATTGGATTGGAGCTGAGTTTGTGAAAACAACGACCAGCAGCAACTGTGAACGAAGACGTATCAGCAAGTTGTTGGATTCGGAGTTTCTTTCACATTCATTCTTATTATTAAGTTGACATGGAGGAGCTGGCATAGCATTCATCGTCAATTAACATATGAGCTACGATTCTTAGATAAGTTACTTTCTCAATCACTTTATTAGTACTTAAAAAAACTATCTTACTTTCTGTTATATTATATATTAAGTTTTCTTTGTTTTATATATTTATATTATGTTTAAACAAAAAAAAATCTATAAAAGTTTTTTAAGAAAAAAAATTCCAATTTTTCATTAGTTAAAAATTAGTTTATTCAAACTAATTTATAAAAAGATTATATTATTTTGTCAAAATCTTTATTATAATTTATATATAACCTTGTTTTCACTAGTACGTAAATTACTTTTCTTTTTTTTTAAGAAAACTTTTGAAGTGTCTCGTAGGATTTCAAGTATCTAATTGTTTAATATCACGACATGAGCACGAGACCCACGCGACCTCCAAGTTTACAATAACCTTTTCCTGTACCTTTTGGTTGGATAAACTGACACATTTAAATAGAAAAAAAATTTATTGACGATCATGCATAAAAAATAAAAAATAAAATCTTTAATTTGAGTAAAAAAATATATTTTTTCTTAATCAATACTTGTAAAACACTAGTTAATATTTTTTTTATGTTAACATTGTAAAAAAAACGTGGTAGAATATTTGGATGCGCCTGATCCTTATAGACAGACACCAACAACGACAGAGAGCCCCGTATAAAGGGCATTTTTCTTAAAATTACTGAAGTAATTTATTTTGTCGCATGTCTGATGAAAACACATTCAGTAGTAAAAAATGAACTTCTTAAAAGTATATCTAAAAACTGAAATCACATTAAAACAAAAAACTTTATATTTATGTAGTGATTAGACAAAAACTATGCTATGTAATTGTGTCGGAAACAAATGTCCAGGTTTGCCAATTTCCTTTCCAATGAGCATGACAAGTGATTTTGGTAGAGACAAGGTGTTGACATCTGTGTCATAAATAAACTGCAACATTCTTTGTAATACACTATGCGTTATAAATGAATTCTACCACTACAAATCGCATGATTTCATTATTTCTAGTAAACTTTAACTAGATGCAGAGTTAAAAGTTAAACAAGTAATGCAATTATGAAATACGAAAATTCCGACAAATTTTACACAAAAAATGCTTTCATTGGAAAAATAACCTTTTTCGTTGAAAAGTGAACCGTCAATTCGAAATTCAGGCAAGACAGGATTTTAGTAGCAACCATAAGGTGTAAACTTTGAACAATAATACATTTACACATACTACATCAATTGAAGATAATAAAATTGCATGACCAAACATGATAATCAAAACTCAACTAGTGGGTTTTTTTTTTTTTTTTTCTTTTTTCCACATTATTTCTCAATATTCCCTGGTCCAATTCAACCCAATCCTTTCTAATCAAGTTTTCATATATGCAAACGTCCTTTCCCCCCTAAACCCTCTGTCCATCACAGCTTTTGAACGAACAAAGGTAATAACAACATATTGCAAATCACATACTAATTCACAATACTGCTATAACACTAAAGATGGGTGAAGCAGACCAATTGGATGCAAAATTCCTGCCAGCAAAACTGATTTTCCCTTCATTGATTCCTCCCGAGTCAGAAATCATCATCGCCTTGATTCAAGTCTCCCAACATCAATATGAGCATTTTTAGATAAGAGAAACAAAGAAAACCATTTCATAGGAAGTAATCCGGTGCTGGTTTCTTTGCAGGTGTCCCTCTTGATTCCTACATTCCATTAAAAAATTAAAATCAATTTGGACAAATTTAGCACAATTACATTTCCATGACAAAATATCATCATAAGTTAGCCAAAAACACAGGACACTAATTGTTTGCTTAAACATGCAATGATAGCGAAATCCAAATTGAAACAAACTAATACACAAAGCAAAGTAGGATAAAAACACTCATTCTCATGAACTGAACGGTCATATGAAAAACACATTCTTAACCACATTAATCAATTAATTTGACAATAGAGAGATTGAAGCTCATATTTCTACTACTTGAGAAAATCGGTATAGCTCACTCTGCATAGGGAGTTCATAATGACAATAAATATCAGGTATTTTGCCTACAAACCTGTGGAGCAGCTTCAAAAACGCGGAACTGCTTATTAAGATTTCCATCCAACTCCAGAATTGCAGCTACATTACCACATCTATAACAAAGATTAAAAGTGTCTTACTAAAAACATCAGAACACGAATAAGAAAAAAACATTTTAGTTTTTTAGTTACCTATAGCAATAATTTGGAGCAGACCAGACAGTAACTATCTGGTTATTGAACATCCATTTATATCCTTCCATTACCAACTGATGTGCACGACATATATAGTCAATGTTGTTGGAGTGGTTAAAGGAAGTAACAACACTGCCACCAAATAAGAAACCAGCACCACGGGGACTGAGACCCCATCCATCCACAATATCTTCAGGATCTGACCATAAGAGGTCACACATGGCACCATCATGAGGTACTTCTTGCTTCCGATCAATAGTTCGAATCTAAATATGAATGATAAATAATATATAAAGTATTGCTAGTATACAGTCTAAATAAAGACAAACAAATTAGGGTAAAATTTCTAACCTGATCCAGTGTTGAAATTGCAGGAGAAAGACCCCCATGAACACTGAAAATCTTGTTTTCAATTAAAGCGGACAAACTGCAGTTTGTTGTTATCAACATATGAAATTGTTAGAGAAGGCAAAAGCTACACCAACTAAATCTGTAAATGCAGTTATGTTGTCTTTTAAGCAACTTGACAATAATATTTCCATTCATATCTACTTTTTGGTTATTTCTATGCATGACAAAAGCTTGCAATTTGACACTTTTTTCAACAATCTGAAGTCTAAAGGTTGTTCAAAATCAACAGGAATGAGGGATAAAGATCATTAACCATGTGGTCGTACTAGGATCATACCATATATAAGTGTATCTTCACATAAAAGTATGATAATGTAATTAATTAATATGTGTAATTATCACGAGTCAGGTCAGAATTCAGACATTTATTTAGTAGTTATTATATTATTAATAATGCTTCTTTGTTTTATACTGGATAATGATTTCTAGTGGTGAAAGCAGGTACAGGACTAATAACCAGCCCAAAGATGTTGCTTCCTGCACTCCTACATGCTCATCCTACACCCCATATTTGTTCAAAAAGACAATATTGCCCCTATGGTAAAATAGATTCCAGATTGATCTTTTCAAAAGCAATCCGGATTGACCTGTTCGAAAGCATTCCGGATTAATCTTTCCAAAAGCATTTCAGATTGACCTTTTTGAAATGGTGAACTTATGTTCCAGATTTCATAATTCAAACCTTAAATCATACCTTAAATCATAGATGACTAAAAATCATTTTGGGATTCAGTTTTCCAGTTGGACCTTTCCAGAATGGTAAAATTATGTTTAATCCGGAACTTAAGGAAATTATATGTTTTTAGATCCATTCATCCGATTTTTTTTTTCTGATTTGCCAATCCAGAATACTCTAAAATATACTTCCAGATCACTAGTTTCATAAAACTAATAAGGGTGTTATTGCCTTTTCAAATAAATATGGAGTGCAAGAAGAAGACACGGAGGTGCATGAAGAAAGAGCAAAGGCATATTTTAAATGAAGGCCCAAACCAAGTCCAATTCAAAGGAGAAATGGGAGAGTCAGGAGAAACACTCCATAGAGAAATGAAGAACATAAACACTCAATAGTAATTCCTAGACACTTCAAGGTCAGAACTGAGAAACAATCCAACGGAAAAAAAAAATGGTTACAAACAAGAACAGAAAGAGAACGAAGAGAAGCATGACTCCCAATGTCAAACACAAACAGAGAAAACAAACGAAATTCTCAATTTCGGCTAAAAAACAATTACCCAAGCCAAAATGAGCTCGAAATAGAAAATAGATGGCAGAGACAAGTGTGACAAGATAGAGAGCTTGGTTGGGTTGTCACATGAAGAAGAGGATAGATTAGGGTAAAATTATAAATTTCCTCTGCCAGTTCATAAAACCTAACTCACTATTTCTCAGCTGTGCAACTCATGGGATAGATATTCCCAAATCTATTGAGCTGGCACCATAATCCCACCTTCCTACAATTCTACATCTGATCAAACACAGAATATCCATAAAACTCGATCCTATGATTCTGCAAGTAAAATAGGTGTTTGACAATACTACTCTCTCTAAGAGAATTGAGTCCCATTATATAATACATGCAATTTACGTAATGATAAAAAAAGGTGATGAAAGAGGTGTATCGAACTTCTCTCCCCTTTAAAATACACAAACAAAAACCACATAAAGCTTCCTTGTTGTCTTAACCCAGCTCAAGTCAACTTATACCCCTTTCCTTCTTAAAATAGAAAGGAAAAATTATTGCAAGTAATTTCAAACATGACTTAGACAGTTGCAAGAATACTAAAGAAAAATGGTCCAGTAAGAAGTTGCCCAAAAAATAACTTCAATTTTGCATGAAGATCATCAAACAGATTTATCCTTTCTTGAAAATACATTTCAAAGAAAAACAAAACTGGCAGTCCCTACCCATAAAACAGACACTACAAGTAACAAGAGAAAGCAAAGGCATGGCATGGAAAAAGCAATTTGCAACGAGAAAACAATTTCAGGAATTTTATAGCATAAACTCTTAAGGAGAAGTAGCTCTCAATGCAAGACTCAAATCAAGTAATGTTTATCTTAATATCTCAGTCCGCTTTAAGTCATCCACAGAAACTTATGCATAAAATCTGCTGATATATTAGATTTTAGCAAACCTTAAGTAGTCGAATATATCAGTACAATATCTCCATACATTGACTGAACCATACTTTCGAAGGCATTCATCATAGAATCCATATACCTGTCAGGTGAAAGATATTGAATAAGTTTTCTGGAGACATAAAATGTTAGGAAAAATTTTAATGTCTTTTCCCAGTTTTTTTTTTTTTTAAATAAAAGAAGTTTTTTTTTTCTTTCTTCCACTTTAGCTGGTAGACAAACCTGAGTGATCTGACGGCTTTCATGGTTTCCTCTAATGAGTGTTATCCGATCAGGATACCTCACCTGATTGAATATCATTAATTAGTTACAACAATAATGAACAAAATGAAAGTGGTATCATTACAAGCACAAAATAATGAGCAGTTCAACACAACTGACAGTCAAAATAAAAAATCCCTTTATATTTTTGTTTTTCTTTAGTTATTTAAAAGAATGATAAAAAAAATAATTCATCAAGAGACAAACAAACTAGAAAGAACAAGAGTGGCATTTAGAAAAGAACATAAGCTCGAAAGCAAGCAAACAGTAGTTCCTTTGTTTATAGACAAAGGAGTCCCTGAGCAAGAACCCAAAATGAGGATGCAAATCAAATTCTATCTTGACAAGAAAGTAAAATGACGAAACTGCTCAGTAAAAATTCTAGCATTTCATTTCATCCAAGTGCACCAAACAACAGGCAAAAGAACAGATATCATGAGCCTTTTATTCTCCTGTTAACTGACAAAATCTTAATCAAAGAGCAGATCAATAAAATAAAAGATAACCAATAATAAGCATCCTTGGGAAGAATTTCACATTTCAATAATCACATAAAACTTGTACAGTTTCATTCCAACAATAGCACATTATGTTCCCAAAAAAGAAAAGGCTTTAAAGTTGACTCAAGGACAATATAAGAACTGTTCACCAAACCAGCGGCTTGGAAGCCACAATACCAGCCATATTTATGCGATAATCATTGAACAGACTAACTGAAACATTTTTCAAAATTGTTGCAAGGTAGCTCATAACAGATCTAACGCACACAGAAAGCATAAAATACACACATAAACCATACAACACACTTCTAACAGTTTTGTCATACAAGAAAAATAACAGACTATAACCTTAAGGGCGAGCAGAAGAAGGAATGTTTCAACTGAGTAAAACCCTCTATCGACAAAATCTCCCAGGAATAAATAGTTAGTCTTGGGGCAATCCCCTCCCACTTTGAAAAGCTCCTTCATGTCATAAAACTGACCGTGAATATCACCACATATCTGCACAAAAAATAACAACCAACAAAACTAATCAGTTGAACAGAACAAAAACCGGAAGCCATATCATAAAGAAGAACGAATACAACAGAAAAAAAAAAAAAAAAGACACTTCTTATGTGACCCCATGACTCTCTAAACACAGTACAAAGCACGAAGCAGTGCATTTTGTAAACAGGTACAAACAAAAAAGCAGAAAATCCACCAAATCCTCGGAAAGAGCGATACGTAACCTTTCTTTCATCACTGCATATGACATTTATAACAAGCCCTAGATAGATTGAAGACCCCAGCAAAGTATCAACTAACTAATCGTATTGAACTAAAACCCAACGATAAAATATAAGGTAATTCTGTTGAATGTGAACTGAAATCATGAGAAAAAGCCGGTAAATCGATAATGAAAGGAAACCCGGAAGGCAGAAACCTAAGAGAAATGCAAAAGAACAAAAAAAAAAAGTCAAAAATATATATATATTGAATGAAAGAAGAAGAATAGGGGTAGTGTGACTAACGGTGACAGGAGCATCGACCCTTTGAACGTTGCTCTCTTCGACGAGGATTTCCATGGCTTTGAGGCAAAGAGCCTTCACTTCAGACTCCCTCAGAGGCTCACACCTCTTCAACTGCTCAATTTGCCTGTCCAAGTCTGATGACATCTCTCTATCCTTCTCACTGCAACCCCTTCTTCCCCTCTGTTTTTGTGCTTCAATCTTTCTGCTTTTTGTATTCACCCTCCTTACTTTCCAATATATTTCCCAAATTGCTCACTCCCAACACTCCTAAGTCCCAACTCTTTGGCTTTTCAGTTTTTTTATGCAGAATTCTGCACCAGATCTTTTTCTCTCTATTTTTTCTTTTTTTAACTCTAGGTATCTCTCACTCCAAAATCAACACTAATCTCTGTGTGCAGAGATTCATTAGTAACAAATAATCATAACTAATTTTTTACTTCTCTCTGACATTTTTTCTTACAATCAGACCTGAAATTGAAACCCTAATTTATGTATGACCAACAAATATTTGTTTTATGCAGTCACACTTGATATTAAAACCCTAATTTCTTTATCTACTCTCTCGACAAATATTCGTTCATCCAATTACACTTGAGATTGAATCCCTAATCACATTAATCTTGTCAAGCTGTATTGATAACACTATTTTTGGTTTCAGTAAAAATAATATATATATATATATATATATATATATATATATATATATATATATATATACAATAAGTACTAATTATTTGAAATGAGGTTGATCGTTATTTTATATTTAAACATGAATAGTAGGTGTCCACAAAATTTAATGTAATAATTAATAAATGCATTAAGTTGTTAAACTCATTGTTTAAAATTGCTTTGTTCAGTCATTAAAATTTTACTTGCTTCCTTATTATTATTTAAACTATAATGAAGTTGTATATATGATTTGAAAAGTTGTCAAATTATTACACTCTTTGAAATTGAGTCTGATAAAATTTGAATTTCTTATTGATGAGTAAGACTAAAATAAAAAAGACAAAACTAGCAATAAATTAAAGTGAAAATAAGGTCAATTATCGAATTAAATTATGGAACTACATAGAAGAATTTTGTCTGTGGACATGACCCTCTCAATGTATAAGCATACTTGTAAAGAAAATGACAACACCATCAAATGAATATTCGACCTTTGTAGCAACTTCTACACCACATATAATGACACAATAATTGAAATCTTCTTTTCATAATTGAATGAAGAAATTAAATATTGAATAAGAGTAAAACTTGTAGTAAATAATAACAAGATAAAACAATAAATCAAATTTACACCAAAAACTTTTTAGTTTTCTAAAAATTCATATGCACAATAAAAATGTGTTTATATTATGCTTAATATAAAGTGTTTCTAGGGGTATTGATCACAATTATAAAAAAAAGAAGGAAAAAACCTTGTTGGCGTAAAATAAATAAGTTTTTATTTTTGGCTTTGTAATTTGAAATTAATCAATGTTAGTTTTAATTTTTTTTAAATATTTTGCCAAAATTTAAACTTTTTATTCTTTTCACAATATTCGTTTAAGATAAATAAATAAATAAATTGGATTTTTGAGATTTCGATTTTTTATATACACGTTATATTAAATATTATAGTGAACATTTAATCTTTAGTTTAACATTTAAAAAGTTAACAGCGTTATAGAAATTAAAATAATAATGATTAGTATTAGAATAATATTTTTTATAAAATCAAAAATAAAACTTCACCTATTATACAATATTATAAATACATCTTATCCAAAATATAATGAGAAATGTGAATATGAAAAAAAAAAAGAGAGTAGTATGAGTACCAGAATAACATCGTCCTTAGATTGCATTGTCGTTAGTCTAATAATAATAATAATAATAATAATAATAATAATAATAATAATAATAATAATAATAATAATAATAATAATAATAATAATAATAATAATAATAATAATAATAATAATAAAAATAATAATAATAATAATAATAATAATAATAATAATAATAATAATAAAATAATAATAATAAAACTCTGAAATACTTTTCATAATACTTTCATAAAATTTAAACGTGAGTGTCAGAATTTTCACGTACATAAATAAATACAAATAATTAAATTAGGGTGATAATATTTGAACAATTTAATTTTAATATAATATTAATATTTTTGTTAAATGATTATACATGTATTTTTTTTCTTATTCTATTATTATTTTGTTATGAGGTGGAAAGCAGGAGAAATTTCTCACGAAGGAGACATGTAAAACGACGTCGTGGTGAATGAATTATTAGAAAGCTTCCCTGATCTGCGAAACGACGGTGCCGGTTGGTGGGTGGTGCCGTACGCCTCATTCCATCCATCGCCATCGTCGTCACCTTCCTAAAACGACGACGCACCCATCACCCTTCTCGTCTTCCTCCTACTCATAGTCCTAACTTACACAAAAGGTAATTTCATCTCCGATCGTTTTTCCTCTTTACTCTAACTCCATTTTCGTTCAGTTATCGAGATAATTATCCTTCTGAACCGATGTATGCTTGCTACTCTTCATGATTATCTGCTGAGAAGTGTTCCTTTTGTGTCTGATTGTGAAATTCGCTCTTCTGATCACTTTTTTTTTTTTTTTTTTTTTGTATCTGATGAATGGTGCATGATTAAGTTAATTTTCAGTTTCGGGGTCTAATATATGGTGTTAAAGGTTACCAACTTTCGGCACCCCAATGATGAGTGGGAATTATGACTCCATGATTTATTATGCGATCATAAGCTTTGAAAATTCTTCACGCTGTTATTTCTTGCTTGAATTGTTGTAGGAAATTAGTAATTACCTGCGATTCCTTTTTCTTTCTCGCTGTAACAGCAATTCTGGATTAAATGGAGGAAAGTTTTCTGAGATGAATAGTTTAATTTGAACGGGCGCACTGGTAAATTCTGCATAGGTGCTAAGCAAATAGAAGTTATATTCTGATAATAATGTGACCTGGAATAGTTTCCTTCTATCATGGTCCATGCGATTTTGAAGATTTCTAGGCCTTTGTAGTTTGTTTATTTATTTTCTATGAGCAATTTCTTATGATTAAAACTTAGATGTAATTATTTAAATGCGATCTGTGTTGTTCTCCTATTAAAATTATAGTTTCAACATGTGCATTATATTTCAAGGTAAAACTTAAATTGTAATTGGAATATAACACCAAAAGCGCTTAAAAAAGGCATCCAAGTATAGTCAACATGTTAATTGTTGGATGTTATCATTTATTCTACACAAATAATTGTTTTTTTCTTTCACTCTTTTCTCTCTTTATTTCAGGCCGATGGCATCTTCTTCAGACACGTGGATGAAGGAATATAATGAAGCACTGAAACTTGCTGATGATATCAGTGGTATGATTTCTGAGCAGAATTCCTTTCCTGCATCTGGACCAGAAACCCAGCGTCATTCATCTGCTACAAGGAGGAAGATTACTATATTGTGTACCAGGCTTGATAGCTTGCAATCCCTATTGTCTAAGCTTCCTGGAAAGCAGCCCATGTGAGTGTGTAATTGTTGACTATTCAGGTTAAAAAAGGTCTAGCCGTTACAACACAGAAATTAAGATTTGGAACACTGTGCATTGCATCTTCTAATACTTCTCTCTCCCTGAATAAATGTTTTGAAGAAGTTCCCTGTTATTAATTATCTTATCTCTCTCTGTTTCTGTCTTTAACCTTTTAATACTAATATGTTATTTATTAAGCTATATAGTTCTAGTAGAGAAGAGGCAATGCTTTCAATTACACTGAAGGTGTACAATGAAGTATGCATTACTGTTTTATGAAGTGTATTAGTTGATGCAGATCTGAAAAGGAGATGAATCGACGCAACGACATGGTTGCAAGTTTGAGATCAAAAGTTAATCAAATGGCTTCCACATTGAACATGTCAAACTTTGCAAATAGAGATAGTTTGCTTGGACCAGAAGGAAAACCAGATGCTATGGTCAGAACTGTTGGCCTGGACAACGATGGACTTGTTGGGTTTCAACGGCAAATTATGAAAGGTCACTTGATTAGATTTACTAGTAAATCGCTTTTAGTCTGTGCTTAGGATCTCATAATGCTTTGCTGTTCAAGCAGAACAAGATGAGGGCCTTGAGCAATTGGAAGATACTATAGCTAGCACAAAACATATTGCTTTGGCAGTGAATGAAGAGTTGGGTTTGCACACCAGACTCATTGTATGTTCCCTTTGCCCATTATTTTTCATTCTTGTGTTTTATGGCAATTTTCTTCTTTTCTCCCTTCTAGAATTGAATCCCTTCTTTTTCATCTGCCAGGATGGCTTGGACCAGCATGTAGATGTCACAGATTCCCGGCTCAGGGTAACACTCTTATAATAATTCTGTTAGGACCAAATCCCTGTTTAATCATATCAAAGTTAAATTCTGTTAATATTATTGACATTTACTGACAGCTTATCTTGAACATTTATGTTGTGAAAACAGCGGGTGCAGAAGAACTTGGCAGTTTTAAATAAGCGGACCAAGGGTGGTTGCTCCTTCCTGCGCATGCTTTTATCAGTGATTGGTATAGTGCTTTTGGTTGTTGTTATTTGGCTATTGGTCAAATATTTGTGATGTATAACAAATTACCCAACTTGTCACTTCTCCTTTTGTCTTTGTTTCTGACGTGTGCGCTGAAGTTTCATAACCGAGTTTCGTGACTTCCCTTGCTACTTCCTCAATGACATGGAGTTTGTTGATATGAGGTCGTGAAAGGCATTGTATTGTAATTGACATATTTAAGTGTTTATATATCGTGTGTTTTACTCTTGGTACTTGTACAATATGAAAGTTCAAGTTATTGCTGGAATGTTAATGTGCCCGTGTTTTCACTCATTGCTCTCTTAGATTTTGCTCAAATATTGCATGCGTGACTTCCATTAATATCATGCAACTTTAAATGTGCAACCACCACGAGGTACTTAAGTTCATAGGAGTTCCATCATATAATCTTTTTTTTTTTTCGCTATCTACTTACGTATTGGAGTCTAAGTTTATCAAAACTTACAGTTTTGTCGTGTGCAGCTAGATCTACTACCGTTTCATTACTCTAAATTGGTGAAGATATGACCTTAAATTTGCTCTTTTATTTTATTCATAAGCGATTGCCTGAATAAGGAGGGAAGGAATGTTTGCTATAGAAGCCCTGCTATTGATGCCCCATCATCAACAGAAAGTAAGGTTTCTTCCTTACTTTGTAGTCCATTATTGGGAATCCTCTGTTATAAATTTTGGATAAACATTGTTTGTAAAGGGACATGAAACAGTTTGGTGGTGCCTCTGTCGCTTGCCTTAACTACTGACTTTTTGAGGATTGCAATTAACTACAAGTTCCTGTTTGTATTAAACTGCAAAAAGATTTCTCACTATAATTTTTTTCTTTTTTTGCTTAGGGAAACATTAATTGGAAATCGTGTTTAAGCCTTAAAATACAAATGGCCGTTAATATAAAATCTGTGGGTTTGAGAGATAAGAATTGTAAACGTCTCACCCACCTAGGAATCGAATAAAATTACAAGACATGGATAGAGCCACCCTTACTAGAAGTTTATCCCTCTAATAACTAAGAATCAATATAACCTTTTCTTTTTAAAGTCACTTTATCATAAATTTTTACCGTTTTTTGTGCAAATCTTTAAAAAATAAAATAAATTAGGAAGCATTCTCAAACTTAACGACTTCTTAATTTGAAAACAACGGTGCACAATGAAGAGGAAAGAACATAAAGTGAATGATATCTCACTAAATCAATTAAGCGTCAACATCTGTACTACTGAATGTCTACAATATAATATAATAATAATAATTGGAAAAATGAAAAGTGTAAAAGAACTATGCAACTAAAAGAAGAGCTTTCGCAGGGATGGCTTAGATTCAACCGAGTTTGGGGACTTGAGAGAAGGAGGCACTGCCTTGCTTTGTTGCCCCTCAGCCATTTTATCCAGCAACTTTGCAGCCCTTGGGTCGGTTAACAACTTCTTCTGAAAAGACTGCGAGAAGCCAGTTGCTATGATAGTTACGTGAATTTCCCCAGTGTAGCGATCATCAACAACAGCCCCAAATATAATATTAGCAGAAGGATCAGCCAAACTAGTTACCACCTATAAAAATTACACATGCTGAGGACAAGAAGAAGAGGCAGAAAATGTAGAAATGAACTCGGTAACAATTGCAGTCAGTTGTACCAGACAGCAATAGGCGAAATTAAGCATGTGTATTAATATGAAGCATAGACTGAAAAGAAAAACAGAACCCTGAGGTTGGATGGCTATTTAAAATTCTTGAGTAGATGAAGTGCACAGGAATACTTAATTTTTTTTAACATATTATGGTAAAATAAATGCAAAACACATGTTAGCAACAAATCACAATATCAAAGGAATAACGAAATGTTGCTTATGTGACGATGAAATCCTTAAATACCTGAGAAACCCTATTCACTTCCTGCAGGGTTATGTCCTTTCCTCCAGTAATATTATACACAACCCCGGTAGCTGACTGGATAGATGATCCAATTAAAGGAGCCAAAGTAGCCTGTTCTGCCGCTTCTTCTGCTCGGTTCTTACCAGAGGAAACACCTACTCCAAGCATTGCAGTCCCAGAGTCTTTCATCACAGCTTTTACATCAGCAAAATCCACATTGACAAGTCCAGGTACCTGCAAGAAGGCACAACAGTTTATAATGTCCAGATTAAAAAATGCAGAGACATACACTTGACATCAATACAAGCCAATATACCCATTATGATGAAGTGACCACTCAGACATGAAGGAAATAGTAGGTGGAGAATGGTTCATGCTTTTTATGTTTCCTTTTTCTCTTTGCTAGCTACTGATCTAATGGGATCAACAAGGAACTTGAATCATGTTCTAGTGTCTGAATAAAAAAAAAATAATGCACTGTTTGCCAATCAACTCACTGTTATAATGTCTGATATTCCTTGTACTCCTTGCCGTAGAACATCATCTGCAAGACGGAAAGCATCCTGAAGAGGCATCTGCTCATCAGCTATGTCAAGCAACCGGTCATTCGGAATCACTATAAGCGTGTCAACATTTTTCTGCAGCCTCTCAATGGCTTCAAAGGCCTGAAGAAAATCAAATAAAAAAAACTATAAGTTACAAATGAACCATAGACTCTCATCAGCTAGATAAAATAAACTTCAGACAACAAATTATATATATTGGATAGCTCCCAACTAGGATAACAAACTATATAGTGTGTTTGAAAAAACGTTAATTTCAACACAATGTCAACCCATCCTTCAGGTCCTTCTATGTTTGGTGAATTGGAATGTGCCAGCCAACCTCTTTATAAAAGGGGGCAAACAGATTCCAAACACGCTCTTAATCAAAGATAAAATAAACAGCAAAGGAAGAATATAGTGATACTTTTTAACATATTAAAGCAAAAGGTTAGTATAGAACTAGTTCAATAATCACATTCCCAAATAATGAGAAAAAGAAAACCTGCCTGCAAGGATCTCTTCCGTCCTTCAAAACTGAAGGGATAGGTAACAACTCCTACAGTCAAGTAACCTGCCTCTTTTGATATTTGGGCTACAACTGGGGCGGCACCAGACCCCGTGCCCCCACCCATCCCTGCTGTTATAAACACCAAATCCGATCCTTTGAGAGCATCAGCAATAGATTCTCTGGATTCCTCCGCAGCTTGTTCCCCCAAAAGTGGATTCCCACCCGTACCTGTATCTCTATCAGGTAATTTGAATCAAAAGTCACCCCTCAATTTCTCAACAAAATCAGCTAAAAAACAAAATCAGACAGTCTGGACCTACAAAACCAAATCACATCATAGTAATTTAGTAAAATCTAAAACTTTGCAAGGAGAGTGCCTGACCTAACCCACGTGTCAGAACTTCTCCAATTTTAATAGGGTTTTCAGCAGCAGAATTTAACAGTGCCTGAGCATCAGTATTTATCGCATAGAAATCTACACCCTGATTGAAAATGCAGGAGAGTTCAAGAATAGTATCAGTATCTTCACTTAGTGGACGCGAAACACAAATGGTAGCTTAGAGAATTGTGCCACTCACTGGGTTAAATAAGGAGGATTATTAATATGACATGTAACACACTCCTTCATGTACACTCTCTATTACTGGCTAAATTTTGTTAGAAACAAAAGTTCTTAAGTATATCTCATTTAATAAGAAACAAGACCAACAAAATTTTGCTATCGCCAATTAATTTCAGCTAACAGTAAAGGTGTATTCGAAAGAGTGTTTTACTTCATCTTTAGGCATTCGAAAATGTGCAACCACGATAAAACAATGTCTCCAGAAACAAGAAGCAAAGCACCAAAGTAAACAAAAATAGAAACCATTAAAAACTGACAACAATCGATATTCGAAATTGGGTAGCGAACATGTACCTGCAAACCACTACCTATCATGCGGTTAACGGCATTGTTGCCGCCGCCACCGATGCCGACAACCTTAATCTTAGCGTTATCTACATACGCGTAGGAGCATCTCACCGAGCCGAATCGACGACTTAAGCGTTGATGGGCAATTCTGGTGGTTCTGGGGTTGAGAGAACCAGAGGTTGTGAGTGCATTGTGGTGGAATATAGAAGAGTAAGAGCGTGAGAGAAGCTCGTTGGGGTTTGTGAGTGGATGAAGCATCGCCATTTTTTGTTTGTTCTCTCTGTTATTTTTCTGTTTTTTTTTTATTAGGGTTTTAGGGCAAAATAGAAATGGAAATTGAAGCTGAGAGTGATTACCCTCCAATTTTGAGTGGATTTAGTTTCCTTGGTTAGATTCGAATCATATGAAAGGAGATGAAGCTACTTAATAACGGTTCATTGTTACGGAACAAACCCATGACGCCGTTTCTTACTTTTGTTTTCTGCTCTAGTCTTTTTGTCTCGCATATTTACTTAATATCATTACTCAAAAAAATAAAGAGATTTTTTAATACCTTTATAATTTATGTATGACATATTTTTGAATTATGTTTAAAAATTGGATCCAATCATTTTTAAAATGAAAAATAATCAGTTTGAAAGTCAAATTCAACTTTATGTTTGTTATAGGAAGTTTTATAATTTTAAAAAATAATTAAAAAATATTAAATTTGAGTTCCATTTATACTAATTTATTAAACTTCAATTTTTTATTTCAATTATTACTAATATAAAATTTATTTTAATATTAAAATGATATTTAATTATTAATAGAAGCTATCTTTCCATAAATTTCAATAATTTATTCTCTCTCTTGCTATTTGCACTCCCGATTAGCTATGTATACTCCCTTTTGTTTAGAAATTCAGTGAAACAAAATGAGCGAAGATTATATGAAAAAGAAAGGAGAATACATGAAGTTATTTACATAATTATACATAGAAAGATGTAAAGTTAGAAAACGGGGAAGTGTAAATAGAGCATAATTTAAACACTCATGTGGCCCAAGAAATCCAAATAATAGTATAGCAGGAAACAAATTAGGCCCACACGGATGTGTGTATAGTAAGTTGCAGTTAATGTTCAATCAGTGGCCATGCCATGCGAAGTGATGAAATCAAATGAATTGAATCCACAACTCAGAAACTTCAGATCACTAGTACGACGACGAATTACGGAACTGAGAGGTAATGATGTTGTGTCGTTTCGTTTTCACTCGTGAAGTAGACCACAAACACGGCAACCGGGGTTCCGTTTCCAAATTTTGTTCAAGCAAGTTTAGTTTTGTTCTTGCAGGATTTCATTTTCTGTGTGATCAGGATTAGGGTCCGTCCGATATGGGGTTCTCGGTTACCACGCTAATTTTCGCCGTAGTTGGAATTGTTGCGTCCCTTTGTACCAGAATTTGTTTCAACAGAGGACCTTCCGCTAATCTGTAATGTTTCTTCGTTTCTTTGTGAGACTCATAGTTTAAGTGAAGTAATTAAATAATTGCTATTGCTAATCTTACACAAAATACGCAAAGAAATCCATAATATGACGTAGCTAATGGATCTGGAAAGATGTGAACTTGTTCATTACTATTGTTGTTATAAAATGTCTGTGGATGCTAACTTTGTATGGTGTTATTGAAGGAAGTATGGTATGTTGTCTTTTCTGAGGCTTTAAGAATTTTACAATGTGATGTATTTATATTTAGTCGGTGCTGAAGTTGGTTTTGAAGATGATGGAAGTTGTTCTGAAGGAACAGAGATTTATTATTCTTGAATTTTGTTGCCTCTCCTTTTCACTGTCCTCGATAATGTTTCCCCTCTCAAAATTATTGTTCTCTGTCTGACCTAACATCTTATTACTCTGTTGCAGATTTCACCTAACCTTGGTTCTTACTGCAACAATATGCTGTTGGATGATGTAAGTGCATGTTTGAGTTGCTTTTTTTCTTATAGTTTTCATGAAGTTAGAACATGAATTAGAGCATGTAGAAGTTGTCTTCCCGAGCTTATTACCCTGGCAAGGTATCGATTAATAGGAAAAGGAATCCTAAAGACTAAGTTTTTCCCCCCTAGTGAATAACTCTTTAGGATAATGTATCCTCAATCAGTTCGATTGAAGATGTGTTTCCATACCTGTCCTTTGGCTCTCTGTGTCCATGACGCTCCAGCATGAATTTGTAGTACTTTTTAGTCAAATTCCATGTCCTGTGTAACAGCACTAAACAGTTGAAGAGGAGGTACTCATGCTCTCTGTGTGTGATACCGCCACATGAATTTGGAGTACTTTGTCGTCAAATTCCGTTTCCTGTGTAACAGAACCAAACAAGCTGAAGAGGAATGGATGAATTATTTAAAATCAGGATATGTTTAGGCAATCATGCCAGGGCATACCAAGGCCGTTGGTACTTAACTTTCGTTTATAAAGTGGGGCATTTTGCTGCCATATTTCACAAGGAGACAAAAGGATGGGAAGCTTTGGCTTGCCCTTGTTGTTAAGAAAATGGATCAAAACTTGTGAGTAATCTGTGAATCAATAAGTTAAGTGCATGAAAAGTTATCATATTCTAAACGTGTTGTTTTCCTTGAGGAATTTGTTGCTTGTGATAAAATTGAATGACCAGATGTAGAGAGGATGTTGTCTACCTGGAATGGTTGCTAGCTAGTGTCTGACAGAATGTCCGGTATAATCAAGGGAGGAGCGAAAATGGCCTTTTACATTGATTAGTTGAATTAGATTTTTTTGGGGGTGGAGGGTAGTTGATACTAAAATCTTCTAGAGTTCTATCTTTCTTATCACTAGTTTTTGGTGAGTAATTTCCATAGATCCGAGAGGTGATAAACTTTGCATTTTCCGTTGGTTCTATTAGTGATTACATTTTCCGTTGGTTCTATTAGTGATTACATTTTCCGTTGGTTCTATAGCATTTCTAAGAGGTGAATAGCCATATCCTGTCTTATTCCATTAATCTTTCTTTCTTTTTGTGCTTACTTTGGTTCTTAATTTCCTTTATCAGGTGGTCGATTGTATATCTAGCCCAGATGAAACCACTAATAGTACCTATTCTGAGTGAGGGTGTTTAACTTTCTGCATAAACTGACGCAACTCTTAAGAATGTGAATCACTGGTTGGACGCTATAGAGGAGTTGATTTCAGCTCTCATAAATCGTCAAGTATTTTCTGTGGGGATCTGTATGTTGGTTAGTGGCGTTTCAATTGGTCTTACATGCTGTCATTACTCATGTTGCAACTGTTGTATTCAACTTTTATTTATTTCAGAAGTGGGTATAGTGGGTTTTAAGTATGTATTTAGGTGAACTAAGTTGATGCAAGAAAATTATGTCTTGGTTTTTACTAGTATAGAAAAGAAAATTTGATGAGGAGATTTATTCACGCAACCAGTCTTGTATATGATCCTAGAAACAAAGGAAGCTCTGATGTCACGATATTTTAGAGAAAGTTCACAAGACAAAGCTATGGACTTATTTTTAAATCATTACTGGTAAGCTCAACTATTCATATTTGTAACAAAGCTATTGAACGCATAATTGCAAACGTTTGAAATTGAGTTCATTAGTTAGGCGCACGAAATGGATATTAAACCGTATACTTAATCGAGATCGGTGAAATCAAGTTTTCATTTAATAATCGAGTTACATAGACAATTTATAAGAACATGAAAGTAAAAAATAATAAATATTTAATTGAGCTTAAAAATAATAATTTGAAATCAAATTGAGAATAACCGAAAAGTATGATGTTATATTGAGACTAGTAAAATATTCCCATAACACACTCAGAAACGTTATTGAACTCCTTGATGGATCTCTCGTCTGCGCCACTACGCATCAACGGTGGAAAGAAGAGCCAAGCGGCGGTGGCGATCACAAACCCCACGGTAATGGGCCCGGACACGACCCAGTGCAGTCTCCATTTACGGCCCAACCACATGGTCGCACCAAACTCCGCAACCACGCAAACCCCGTGGAGCAGAAAGAAGCACGTGACCTCCCACGTGGGAGCGATACGTGTGATGTAGTAGAATATGAGCTCGTGCATCAGCCCAGACACCAAGAAAGTTGCCATGACGGCGGCCACCGAGGCCCACCGGGGGTGAAATGCGGTATTGGTTAATAATGATCTCACGGGATTGTATACGGTGTGTCGCAGCGTATACGTTACTATGAGGTTCCACCTTCTCCCCCAGAAATCACGTAACGAGGTTGAGAGATAAGGATCATCAGACGGTAACTGTAGCTGAACCCCAAATGTGGCGTTGACGAGAATGTTGCAGAGTCCCATAAGAACATCCATTAGAAGATACATAAGGGTGCAATAGAGGGCGAGAATAATTGTAGGGTGAAGTTTTTGTTTGTGGTTGTCTTTGATAGCATTGAGTAGGAGTCCAAGAAGTAAGGCCTTAATTGGGAGAAAAATGGGATGCAATGTGAATTTTGATTTTGATTTGTGTTGTTGTTTTGAGGTGAGTCTAATTGGGAGGCATGCAAAGGAGAGGAAGTGAAGAAGGGAGTTGGAATATGAAGGGAGAGGGCCCAAATGAAAAGAAAAGAGAAGAAGTTTGGAGTTGGTGAGCCAAGTGATGAAGAAGGCAGTGACACCTGTTGGGAGGAAAGTGGAGAGTTGCAGAGGTAGGATGGAGAAGAGGTAAAACACAGGGGAGAGGGACAAAAATCTTATCATGCCTTTGGGTAGCCTTGATGAAATGAAATAGCAGTAACAAAGTGACGTTATGACTGAAACCCATACCTTCATCAAGCTCTTCATTTCTCCTTCCATTTCCATACATTTTGGGCTTCCCATCTTCTTCCTTTTCTTTCTTCTTTCCCTTCATTCCTTTCCTCTTTCCTCAATTCTATTTTTAAATAAAATCTGTCGATGAAGACAACAATTTCTTTTTATTTTTAATTTGCGCATCAATTTGTTAAAAAATTTCTTTATATTCACTACTCATATTATCACACGTCAATGATTAATTTAAGGATAGATATGTTTATAGTACTATTCTTTCTCTTAATATTCAGAAAATATGTTCTCTCGCTTATTAATAATGGAGTAATTAACAAAATTTACCAATAGAAATTATTTTTTAATTTTTTTTGTTACAGTATTTTTTTTAATTTCTTAAATTTGGATTAATTGTTTTAGACCTTTAAATTGAGAAATGATTTTTTTAATCTCTTTTATGTATAATTGATAGTTTGAGTCTCTAAATTTAAAAAAATAATTTTTATTCTAAAGTTTAATGATTTTTAAATCTTTTATTTTAAATATAATTCATTTTTTCAAGATTGAAGTTGTTAAAAATTTGTTAATATAATAATTTTTTTTAATTAAAAAAACGATTTTAAAACATTTTTTTACAATGTTATAACCATGTTCAAAATATTTATTTTTACTTTTTTTTTCATTATTCTCTCTTTATAATGTTGATGTTAATATAGTTCTTTATTGTATGTAGTGAAACAAAATAAAATATATCACTTACATGTAATATAAATAAAACTTAATCATGACTCTTTAATAAATTTTTAAGTTTAAGATTTTGAAGAAAAAATTGATTGAAAAGAAATCAACGAATATTAATCAGCTGTTTTAACAAAAAAAATCATTAATAAAATGAATAAATGTTTTAAAAAATATTAGGTTGATTGATGAAGAAAAATAATTTATAACCTTTTTGAAATAAAAATGTACTTTTTACTAATTTCCATCTATTAAAATATTTTTTAATTAAAATTGAATTAGACTGACTTTCGATTAATTTTATTACTTTTACGATTCTTCAAGTTGGTTTTGCAAAAAATTTTAAACCACCTATCTAATCACCCGATTTTCAAAACAAAATTGTAGAGATAAAGAACTTCCATAAATATCAGTCCAGTACATAAAATTCTCTATATTTTATGCAAGTTTTTTACAAAGAAAACCCCGTAGTCCCAGTAAAGGCTGAAAAAATTATGCAATAGCCAAAAAATGTTGTTAAAAAGGAATGCCCTCACCCCCTGACAATTTCCTAGTATTGAAAACTGTTACTGTTAACCCTAGTCTATTCAGAGACTTCTTTCCTTGAGCAGTCTATGTACTGGATCGGACATGACCATGCAGAAAGAAGAGGACAAATTATGACTACTCTTCGAGCCAACCACATGAATGTTGGCTCGCATAACCGGAGTTCGGACAAGAAGCAAATCCTTGCAACCCACCTCCAAAACTGCCCCTTTTAATGAATGTACGAGGTTCAGAACCCAAAGAACTTGTCTTGACATGGTTTAATTTACCTGCTGGAAGTGCAGATCGTCCAATCGCTGGTGTATTCGTCTTACAAGATGACCCAGTTCGTGAAATTACTTGCTCATTACAATTTCCCGGGTGGCCAGGAGAAGGATCGTGACCAGATAGCGCTGAGGATTTCCCATTGATTCGATTGGATTGAGTCTGGTCGGCTACTGCACTCGGCATTTTATTTACAGCCTGCCTTTTGGCTGGTGAGATCACACCTACTTGTGTTATATTACTTTCCTCAAAACGTTTTCTCTTACTTCGTGACTTGCCAGACTTGCCTTTCCTATATTCCTGTTCCCCTTGATTCTCTTTGTCAACATTAGCATAAAGTAAGCTTCTTTTCTGACCATCCCTTTCAGCTGCTTGATCTTCTTGGTCATCAGTTAACTTTGAATTATCAGCATAATTTCCACCGGTAGCATGAACAGCAGCAGCCACCGTGTCAGAGTTATGAACATTCTCACGGCACACATGACCATGCTCTCGGGCTATGACCTTGTGTTTGGTAGTCCAGTCAGAGCGGCTCCAAAGGGAGAGAATTGGCGGACTTATATTCCTTTGCTCCATGCAGGTAGAAACAGAGAGACTAACCGTGTCTAATAGAAAATTCTCATCCTCCCATATAAGATCATACAGTGAGAGTTTTTTATTTAGCCTGTTTGACAAGCAAGAAAACAATGATGAAAAGGCAGAAAAAATATATTTTCAATGACAGTCAGTGACAGTTCGAGGATACACTATGGAAAAAGGGTCATGCCTCTCTATCTCTGGTGGTGATATAAGAATTAGGAGTTTTGGTTTAAACTCAAGAGCCTTATCTATAAACTCGTTAGCCAATGCTGCCGTATTGCTAAAGGGAGGGCTGAGCCCGATGATCTGGTACAGAAGCAAAATATAAAATAAAATTAACTTGTGCATTGGTCTAAAGGATATCCACTTAATCATGCAATTCAAAATTTCTTACCAACTGCGACCCTGTGGGTAACTCGGTGGTTGGTTGGACAGTCATCCAATCCCTCCTTTCAGAACTAAGATCATTCTGTTATTGACAAGAAAAAAAGACATATCAATACTAAAGTTTGATTATCTTTGATTACTAAAATTACGTTCAATTATAATAAATCATTATAATCAAAACAAAATTCTTCCAAGAACAATGTATCTTTCATCTTTAACTATCCAACACGCACAAAAGCACTGAAACATCCCTGAAAAATATACAACATCTCTGACTACATCCCTGTATATTAGGTAGACAAATTTCTCACTAAGTTTCGACGCAAAGGCCTACTATTCTTTCTTTACCCATCAGTTCAACAAGAATGATGGTAGACGAACCAAAAAAAATGATCAGAGAGGGGATGAAGAAATTTCAAAAGAAAACATGACTATAAAACAAAGATGATGATGATGGTAACCATAGTTAAACAAAACAAAGAAAAATTCAACGATGGTTTCTTCTAATACATGGGGCAGAAGGAAAAAAAAAGAAAAAAGATCCATGAATAATAACAATAACAATCTATGTATAAAAAAAATTTCACACGTGCAAGATCAATAGTTAAATAAAAATCAGTTATTTAGAATCAATCACTGCTAGATGCAATGTCAGAAAGTAAACACTGAATTACAAGTTTAAAACAACTAGGTGGTTTTGAACTTCTAAAGTATATCTACCTTTGTTGGAAGAAAATCATAGTTTCTGTATGAACATTTCTTCCCTGTCTCCTCAAGTCTTTTTTTCATGGGGATGCCAAAATCATTAGCTTCACAGCTGAAGTCCACAATCTGAACATCATTAACTATGCCAATCAGGTATTCAACATCAACAATCAGAAATAGAATAACAATGTCAAGAAAGATCATCCACCAGACAGAAAATGTCACGAGGAAAATCAGAAATTTTTCTTTCATGTAAATGGCATAGAAAGACAATCCAAGCATACTTGAGAAATTTTATTTTATGCAAAAACAGGTTTCAAGAATATTGCCTAAATTCATCATAAGAAAATCAGCATGGGATTTACCGAAGATCTTTGCTAATCTAAACTGGTGAGACCAATTAAAAAAGATCAGAGAGAGAACTGTCAAAGACAGCAGCATCTAGTTCCCTTAAATTAAACAAAGTTTTGCAACAAATTTCCCAAACTAGGAACTAAAGATTGGTAGAATACCAATTCAGTTATTATCTTCACACAGCTTCAGATAATAAAAAGGTCAACTACTGACAAAATTTATGCTAATAATGGAAGACATATTTGAAATAAGTGCTCAAGTACAGAAGGGCCTACCGTATCACCATTCTGAACATACCAATGAAGTTTATCAGCAATCTGCATATGGAAAAATCAATCTTTGAGCAATGCTTGATGGATGTATGATGATATGATTATTTAAGATAATAATTCAGTACTGAGAAAGATAAGGAGAGAGAATCTGTATGAACTGAAAGTGATTTTTGCATTACTTTTTTGAAGTGCATATGTTAGTATTTATACAGAAGTAGTAGCTTACTCTTGCATGCTTTGCTAACTATATATAGATTTAACCAACTGAAAGCTAGCATAACTGGCATCAGTTTAGTTGGCAACAACTTAGCTAACTAGACCATAGATCTAACTAACAGCTCAGTATCACTGACTTCAGTTAGTTAGTTAATTATAACAAATGCTGTCTAAATGTAGTATGGATCCATAGGTAACATGCAAACTAAATGTAATTGGCACAAAAATAATGAACATGAGGGCCAGGAAGGATGTACACTTGAACATCCCTTTGTTACCTCTTTTTTTTATAAGGAAATCATTACATATAGTAACTAGTGGCAGTGAAACCCAAATACACCTACATATCAAGGTTTATTGGCCACCATCAGAAGAACCCATCACATTGTCCTAATAATTGATCACATTTTCCGTGACCATTAAACCCAACAAAAAACTATCTGACTGTATATCAGGTCCTACTAGGTATTGTTTGCCCAATTTTTAGGCTTCTCTCCTTAAAAGCAGAATTTGGACCAAACACATATTCTAAAATGCTTAACATATAAAAGTAAAAGGAAAAAAGAAAGCTTTTCAATAAAAGTTAGGAGATTGAGTTTCTAGAAAAAAAAATGCATAAGCCAACCTTTCAGTAAAAAGATTTTATTTATATGAACTCAGTAGTAAAAAGGTACAAAATCAGTAAATTGGAGCCAATCTGGCAGGAAACTCTTTCTTACTGAAGTCCACAACAATAAGAATAATCTTCCTGAATCTGAAATGCAGCCATTTTGAGAAGATCATGTGATGATGATGATGATCGTTCATCCCAATTATGCCCACCCCAAAGTCAATAGAAATTCTAACAATCAACACTACTACTTAAACCAATCCCACCAAAAGAATCATCACCCACTATCACTGTAGAGAATCCCCTAGTTGCCTGCATCCCCAGGCTCATCACCCAACACCCTGCATGGTACCCGTACATACTGCCAATATTCTATTTTTGCTTTAGCGAAGCAGCATAGACTTACATTACTATTTCTCCTATTCGTGATAATTTGCCTCATCTAGAAGCCTATGGTGCATGTTCAAGGGCATTTAAAAAATGAATAATATGATTCAAAAAGAAAGGAGGATATAAAAGCTAGTCATCATATATCCCCAACTTTACAGTACCCAAAAATGTAAAATATAGAAAATAGAAAATTATAATACAAGAAAGAATCACAACTAATTTTCTAGGAGAATAGGAGAAAAAGTTAGGTAGAAAAATAAGTAGGTACCCCTTCTAGCTTTTCCACATGACCATATGATGTATAGCGGTTACCATTTAGAACAGGTGCAAGATATATTTTCAGCTCATCCTACAGGAAATTCACTCAATGAAGTTGTGATTACAGATTACTAAATTAAATCATCTCCAGAAAAAATTGAAAATCTTCGAACCATGATTAATTTTGTACAATAACAGGAACATTGGCATCACTCAAATGTCAAAGCTTTACCCAATTGCCTATCTTACCATATATCAATGAAATTATAATATAATGAGATCATTCACTTTTAAGCTTTTAATTAAGTTTTAATAACACAACCTCACAATGACCAATAAAAAAAACATGAGCAGCAGCTTTGCTGATTTATCTGCATCTCTGAATAATTACTGGTCAAATTCACCACCATAATGGCAAATATATGAAAATTTCTTTCCCGGGTAACAAATACAAAGACACCAGAACTTAATAAATAGTTTTAGGGTAATGAAAGGCCAAACATTGTGACCTTCTCCCATGCCTGGTCAAAGGCATGGATAAAAAACTCACCCGTTACATTAGCTATACACCCAAAGACTCACTTTGCACCAAGATGATGTCAATCATTACTATAATATGCCTATAAACTAACCTGCCTTTTTTATTGCAGTAATATAAGAATAAGAAAACAATTAAAAAAGTAAAGCACTAAGCACCTTCCACTTAAATATCTGTTTCAGAACATCAGGATCACAAACAGCTTTTGCCTCCTGAATACTGCATCCACTCTCTAGCATCCTTAAAGCTGATTGAACAGCCTGTACATACACAATATAAAATTAATAACCTTATAATTCCCGAGTGGGACACCATAGAATAAACGTATAAAGTTGTACATTAACTGAGTCTTCCAATTTCTCCATTGTAATGGTCTTCTCCGCACCATTTCTCAAAATGTGACTATGAGTAGAAGCAAATATGTGCTTTTCTAAGACACTGTCCAATGTAATGGATGAAGTAGCTTCCTTAAACAATCCCAACAATCTACAAGGGAGGAAAACATCTTATGTAAACAAGTTCTTAACAATATAATAATGACAGCTTTAGCTTTCAATTTCAAACAAGAAGACAAGAGAATTCTAAGTGTCAAACTTTAGTATTAAATTAATTCTCAATATCATAATAACTAAAAAATCATACAGATTTACCTCTTTTCCGAATCAGCATCCAATGACAGCGACTCATTATTCACATTATTTATCTGATTGCCAAGCTCGATTTGCTCCGAACCCTCATCCGCATGCAATTTCTCACCAACTGTAAGCTGGTTAAATTTTTGCTGGGAGTCATCAATTTCAATATTCATCGAGATTAACATCTTATTTTCAGTCAAACACCTTGATGGTTTTTTTGATTTTGGCTTTCTTGACCTATTTGAACCATGAATCCTCTTCTTAGATGACTTATTGCCACCAACTTTGTCAGAAGACAGTTTTCCGGTCAATTTAGATCCATTAGAAATGCTTTTGCCAGATGATTTATCTATGTCAATATTTTTCTTCAAAATAACCCTTCTTTTAGCTGAAGGCTTTTTCTGCACAACAGTAGTATCAGGGAATTTTATATGATCTCTTGTAGGAGTGCCAAGTTCAGGATCAATCTCATGATTTCTGGTCAATTTAAGGTAACTATAGTTACATCAAGCATTCACATGTACAAATTAAACAAAAATATCTGTAACACTTACAAGCAATATATAAGAATGCGGTTCTTTGGTAGAAGACCTTCCCAAGCCCTTTGTATAACATTGTTGTCAGCAATAATTTCTCTAAAAAAAAGCAATTTGAGAATCAACCCCTCTAGACACTATCAATTAGAATTATAAAATGGAGACAAGAAACAGAGATAATGACATAGGAATAACCTTGGCAAACATTTACGATGATACGCCTTTGGACAACGCCTACAAACAGCAAACTGCAACTCAGGATCCATACTGTTTTCCAATCCTTTACAGACACAACAATAATGAAGAGGACAAGTAAAAGGATTTCCATCAGCTATATTTCTGTCAATTTCCTCTGTGACATGCTTAACAACCTCGGGAAGTAATTTTGCAACACAATGTGGATGATAAAAACGGTCACAGGTCACAGAAGCACATTTAATAACCTGAAAGGTGAATTCCCAAATAACTTTTAGTTCCACGCATTACAAGGAAGCTCAAGAACAATCCCCTTGTTTCCAAAGTTGGTTGGTGTTTTAATAAATCAATCATAATCAGTGCAAGATAGAACAGACATTGAAGCAGGAGATGTGTTTAACTCAGTAGTCCACAGGAATGATTGGTAAGAGAAGAGGGATGGATCCAATACAATACTTGGCATGTTCAAGGTAAGTTTTGAAACAATAAATTTTTACAAGGTTTAAAACCTCATTGTTTTTTAAAATAGTCAACATTGTGAGGAAATAACAGAACTCTTTAGCACAAATTTTATTAAATTGTAGGATTTTTTTCATTTAGGAAATCTGCTTCATACTTTAGGATAGAACTTAAACCATCATAATTCAACACAATTGAACAATATACCATCAAATCCAATGCCAACTTAATATCCTCCCTAATTATTGCACGAACTTGTAGTAGATTATTACAGCATCCCTCAACAAGATTACTTTTGGGATTTGATATCACAAAAAATTGCTTTATTTGTTGAAGAAAAAAGGGGGAAAGAATGAAAGATTCAAAGGGCATGCCTAGTATTCCCCCTAAATTTGTTCAATTGGAAGGCTTAGACTGGTTAGATAATTGACTGAGCTGGAAGGGTTATATGAAAAATAATAGTGTTGATATTATAAAATTAAATTAAAAACAAGTCATGTTTATAAATAATTAGTAATTTAGTATATATACAGGAGTCTGCCTTTCAAATGAGACACAGAAACTTCCATCCAAAACATTTGAGAACTCTGATACGGAAACAATCTACCAAATGATGCTTTGACTTAATATACACCAAACTCCCGAGAAAAACGAGATGAAAATTGATGGAGATAATCAATTGCAAGAGAGATCTTTAGCTTCCTCATCATTGATGTTTGCATTTACCACACCTCAAGCATTACCAAATTCTCATTTAAAGTTGGTCCAGAGAGAGATATGCTAAGCATTGTATTGGGGTATTGTGCAATTCAGGATACAATTCAATTCAATATTCCAAATCAAGGAGATGGCCATGTGGATTGTTTTGGTACTTAAATAGTATGATGTATAACAGATGAATCAAATTAATTGTTTGTTGACATGAATAGAGTGAGTGATTATGGTGCAAGTGGGTGCACGCCAAACTGGGTCAGATCGTGAAAACAATGTCTCTAAATCCTGAAAGTGCTATTTCTTTTATATGCTTTTCAAATAAAATATTTTAAGGTTTGTGTTTTTTAGTTGTTGTTCATGAATTTATGCTTTTAACTATATGTCTTTGTTAGTTGGATATATCGAGTTTTGTTACTGATCATGAATCTTATGATTCACTATACAAATTAAATTGCCCAATTCTTGATTTGGATCTCAAGTCTACTACCGTGGCTAAGAGTCAAAATGAAGTTGTAAACAACAAATAATTAGACTAACATCATTCAGCCAAAGGAAAAGAATTGAATGATCTAAGCAACAAGAAAAACCATTTCCATAACTGTACCTCAGCACCGTTAACTTCATCAGAAGACCCCAGCTTGCCACAAGCAAAGCACTGGTGCTGACGATATTCACAATTCTTACAATAAAAGTTCGGGATCTCCTGCATATTTTTGTAAAAAAATTTCTTCCCAATTATATGAAGCAGAAAAGGACAAGTAAAATATAAAAGGAAAACAATATAACTCCATCATACATCAACTTCCTTCTGGGTAAAACCAAGAGAAACACAGCTATTTTCAAAACCAGCCTCCTCAGTAGCATGAAATGATCTCATACACATGCCATCGCAACTGCATTTAACATTGAATAATTTAAAATTATGAAGAAAAAACTCAAATACTATTCTAACATAGGGAAACAAATGAAAAATTTATGTAATTTACCCTAAGAAATTTATCAGAATACATAATAACTTCAAGTTCCTTACAATATCTTTAGAATATATTGTAGAATCAATTTGTCTTCTACCGAGGAAACAATCTTAGGAGATGTGTACTGATTTGTTACATTTTGTGTTTTTTTCCCTTTTTATTATGGTTATGGCTCATAATATCTTGGTGGGATTCGGTTTATACTGGTTTTACTACAGTAGTAGTCAAGTACTTGATTACTTGTATAAATAGAACCGTTGTGTCAATATTTTATACTAATTTTACACACCATATTATTCCGTATAATCTCTATTCCAATAACTCTTAACGAAAGACTTGAGTTCAGACAGATAAAGAAGGACAGATACAGATCATTAAAATAAATTAACCCATATGAAAAAAGAACATACCATGTAACATTACCACCATTGTCACAAAGTGCACAAACATCCAAAGCATCCATTTCTTCGGATTCTTCATTAGCTTTGCCTATCATATCACTGTCATAGCCAACAACTGGAAGTCCAGGCTGTTCAAAATCATTAACTTCCTGAAGGTGGAAAAAAATCCATAAAATTTGTATCAAAAATACACAAAGCTAGAATAAAATGCATAAGGGGAAATTATGTTCAAGGATTAAAAAACAGACCTCATCAAGAAGTTTCTGACTGTTCAGTTTCTCCAAAACCATGAGCAAAAGCTGCTTAAGTCATCATACAATTGTCATTAAAATGAAGCACATATGTTGGGAACAATAATCAATTCATATCTAATGAAAATGGAGAGAATTAAAGGAACCAGAGAGTTCAATTGATTAACATTTCATTCCAGTATGCAAACTCTTAAGGATAAAACAGTACAAGAAATCAAAAACCTTATCTACGTCAGTATTATGCACAATCCACTTTCATGTACTATTCTAAACATGGAATCCAATACAAAAAAACAAAGAAGGGTCATATAGACCCCTCAAAAATAAACTAAAAAGGAGTCAATCTGACACAAGTTATTGTTATATATTCCTCATCAACATGGAAGTCAATGTGGTTCAAAAACATAGTACCATTTGTGAATTCCATCAATTAACTGCTTCCTCCTTTTATGTAAAGTCTTAACGGATACATTCCATTAAAAACCTACTTAAAAATGTATTATCATTTACTTACACAAATCAAAGCATAGAATAAAATAGAATAATGTGGTCTGTACCTCAAAATCAAGAAGATTGATAACTAGGGTATGATGCCAGACTCAAACTATACTTTTAATCATTGATTTACATAAGTGTTGCGGAAGGAGAAGGAAATACTAGTTTTCTAGTTTTAGTGTTAAACATAGTAATGTCTATGCAGCGACGGACCTACTTGGGCACATTGGGGGCAGCCACGAGATTTATAATATTTCTTGATATAATTAAGAATTGTTCTCATAATACCAAATGCAGTATAAAAATCAATCCATAATATGAGTATTACTACACACAAATTTATATATGGGTTTAATTATTAACTAATCTCTATGTCCGAACTTTGTTTCTTCTAACTCATTCGTACTGAACAAGCAAATTTAATGTGTTTTGGTCATATTGTCACTTGTCTTCTTATAAGTCTATTAACTCACCACTTCAAATTTTGTAGCGGTGTTATTGGTGTAAATCAACCAGAAAAATTTCTATTGTGGAAGAAGTTTACTTACATGGTGCCAGTCTTAACATCATCACCTTTAGCAGGGACCAAAACACATGCTCATTCAGATTTCGGAAAGGCATACAGACTAAATGAGTAATTAAACCCTTATATATACAATAAGTACAGCAGTCACAACGTAAAATTTCTGGAATAGATAGTATGATTATAGAAAGGGAAATACAAACCTTGGACTTAGCTAAGTCAGCATCCCTTTTGGAAGCTTCACCAATCAAAAGCACGTGGTCCGATAAATCATTTTTTGAAGGCTTAAACCCGTAAAAGCTACAAATAATTTACCGAAAAATTAATCATGAAATGAAGTTGCACATATCTCATTATCAGAAAAAGAGAGTTCAGAAGAAGAAGAAAATACCTCAACTCCTTATCCTGACTCAAGTCTTGCAAAAGAGATCCTACAGACATTTGACGTTTTCCCTTCACACCATGGAGGAAGTAAAGGGTGACGAAAACGGACCTTATTGTTTCCCGAAAACCCTTCCTAGGCTTCTGAAGCTTGATCCACCTTCCATCCTTTGCCAGCAAGAATACCTCGGGTCTCTCACTGGAAAGGTCAAATCTCCACGCCGTCACTTGCATGAAAATCTTCCGCAGCCGGCTATCAGCGTCCCCGTCTAGGAACACCTTCTCTTTGCAGGCACCAGAGTTCTCAGAATCACTCCATTGAATTGGCAACACAGCAAAAGTCACAGGATTGTCTTCATCGTCTACAAGATGGTAATTGGACACAGAGACTGACTGAACCTCAGTCTCAGACTCAGCCTCAGACTCATTATCTGAATATGACCTACCCCTCTTCATCCCAAAGCCTTACTCTCCACACACACTTCCAGAAAAAAAAAACAATTATATCAAAGGATTAGTGATTGTTAATGATAATGATAACGTACATATCGAGCAATCATAACCGTTTAGAGTTTAAACATAAAACCCTCCCCCCCCCAACACACATCAATCACGGTGGTCGTGGGTGGAGAAGTGTAACAAATTGCAACATGCAATCGTAGCAGAAATATTAAAAAATGTCTAGGAACAAGTAAAACCCTAAATTCTAAAATCGAAAACAGAACACGAAATTGTTCAGGAAAAGAAAAAAAAAAACAATAATGGAGGAGCAGTGAGACAACCTTGTAAAGCGCGAGAAAGGTAAAAAAGAAGCAAAAACAGAAGTGAGGAGTGAAGAATGAAGGGTGTGTTCTTACGGCGGGCTAGAGTTAAAACCTTCGCGAAATTTTGGCGCGCTGCGATATTCAGAGGTTGCCACCTCACTACTCTTCTTCCTCAGACACGCCACATGTCACAGAGAACCTTTTGAAGGCCCATTCTCCAAATGTAATTTTAAGGATATCTTCTCACAAAACAAAAGACAACTTAGTGTAGTCTGTCCTTCTGTTAGGATTACGATTATTCTACGATAATAAAACATAAATAAGGTAAAACCTGAAAGAGAAAATTAATAAGAGTTTTTTATATATTATAATATTGCCATAATGGAGACCGAAAAGATAAAATCAGAATGAGATAACAAATAAGATTTTTCTTTTCCTAACAAGTACATAACAAATAAGATTTTTTATAAATAATTTGATAATAGACAAAAAAAACTACTAAATATATACATAATTGTATCTACAATACTTTTAGTGATATAAAAGAATATTCTGATATTCAATAGATTGGATACAATAATATAATTTATACAATATTACTGTTTATAATTCAAACAATGCTAATATATATCAATTTATATATCTATAATTATATATGAAAAAAAAATTAATTAATTTTTGGCATGATAAAAGAGAAAAATAAAAAATATTAACATTTAAAGAAAAATAATTTATATAATTTCATATTTAAAAAATAATAAAAATAGAAAAAGTAAATATATTTAGAAAATAAAATAATAAAATAAGTTATAAAAAATCTAAACGTATAAATGTTTTAATGTCTATATTTTCACTATTTATGTAACAAAATATATACATTATATAAATTTATATTTTAACATATGAGATATTTTTAAAGGATTAATAATAACTATTTAAGAATAAAATTAAATTAAAAAAGTATTTAAAATTATAAGAAAGATGTTTATATAAGTAATTTTGATCAATTTTTAAATAAATAATTAGTAAAATTTATAATTCTAAATAATTTTTAAATAAATAATTAATAAAATATTTAAGACTCTATTCTTATAGATCAAATTATTTAAGACTTTTTAATATTAAAAGATAATTTTTGTCAAAATATGAAATTATTTATCATTATTTTTAATATTGACAGAAACATATTTATTTATAAATAGAGATATTATTATAATTTTTCAGAATAATATTATTATTTTTGGAAGTTAAAAATATATTATACATCTAATTTTGACCCTCTTTCTCGTAACTTGTATCCGTAGGGACCGACCCATCCCCGTTCGAGTTTAACGGAAAAAACCTGAGTTGATCGGGGTGGGGACGGGTTCGATTTTTCCCACTTTAAAAAGTTGGGACGAGGACGGGGATGAATAATGCAATCCCCACCCCGACCCCGTCCACGACCCCGTCCACGTCCCCGTCCCCGCCTCGATTTTATATTTAAATTTAAATTTTAAAATATTAATATTTTAAAAGTATTTTCTTTTCTGTTTCTATTACATATAAGACAATTTTTTTTTATATTTCACTATTTTTATTTTTCTTCTACCTACCTTTTTTATTTTTTTTATCTTTTATATTAATTAATTTATTACATTATTCTCTCCTACGTTTCTGTTTTTCACATTTTCTTAATCTCTCCCATCAATTTGATTTTTTTTAATCTTTTCAACCAATTTGATGAATATAAAGTTAATTTTTTTCTTTTTTATCTTTTTTAAATATTTTACATAAATCTTAGTAATAACTAATATTATTTCATTTATAATTTATATTTATTAGGTTTTATTATGTCATAATTTTTTATCTTATTATTCTTATTTATCATATATCAAATTTTATATTAATAAAATAATTATATTTTAAAATATCAAAAGGAATTGATAATTTAAAATTTTATTACTTTAAACTAATTAAATAAGAATTAACTTATTAAATATTTTTTTATAAACTATATATTTCATATTTTTAAATAACAACTTAAAAATAAATTAACTTATATATTAATCAAATGTTTAAATACATTATTATAATAATAATAATAATGTTATAAGTATTCAAATATTTGAATACAGTATTATAATAATAATAATGTTATAAATATTTTATATATATAAATAAATAATGATTAAATATTTATTTTATATACATATTTTAATATAAATATAATAAATTAAAATATATATTTTAATTAATAATAATTATAAATTATAAATATTTATTTATACATAAAAAATACATATTAAAATTAATTTATTATAAATATAATTATCTTTTTAAAATAATATAAATCGGAGAACCCAAAATCCAGCAGAAACAAGAATAAGGACTTGATTTCTAACCCTGAAAGAGATGAAGGCAAGGATAGGGATAATTAAAAATGTCGGGACGGGCGGGGAGCCGGTCCCACCCCATTGCCATTACTTGTCTACTTAAAACAAATAATTGAAATTACTCTGGAATAAAAATTAATGAATGAATTTAAGATTAAATCATAAAAAATATTTCAGTGTACATGCTATATAATAAGATTATGCATTTAAGTGAAATTACCATGCATACGTACATAATAATTTAATTATTATTCTTTGAATATTTTTCTAAATTTTAAATCATGTTCAGTTTTTTACTTGAATTATGTAGACTTGGCAACGTTAGATTTGAAATCCACGTTAAAATAAATAAGAAAATTGACTAATATATAATGAAAGATTCACAAATTTAACAAGTTTAAAAGTATAAATTAAGGGTGATGATATATAAATAGATTATTTGATTTGTGTGGATATATCTCAATTGTTAATCTCTTCAAAATAACCAACACAGAGTTGTGATATTCACCCAGCAGTTAAAAAGAAAACTTATTATATTTTTTCTTGTTGTTGGTTGGCACATCAAAGCGTAACGAATGACAAAATACAAATAGAGTAGTGTGAATTGCTCACATTCATTTCTCTCTTCCCCTCTTCACCTTTATTCATTCTGATCCCTCTCAATAAGCATTCCCCCCCCCTCCAAAGAACAAGATATTTTTGTACAAACTATTCACATATACTATTGTATAGGTATGTTTACATCCCTAACCTTTTTTTGAAGGTTGAGACCATTATGGAGGTGCTTCCATAAGCTTTCCACTGTCATTATGTTCTCCCTCTAGCAAAAGCATTTACCACTCATCATCTCATGCAGCTGGATGACTGACTCATAACAGCTCATCTGCTGCAGAAACAACATCAGACTCCGGTTGTGAGGAGGCAGTGGTGTCGGAGGTGGCATCATCAACACTGAGGTTGGAGAATTCGATGCCGATGGAGAAACTTTCATCTTCCCCACAAACCGAAGGTACTGGGGATGCGTCAGACATGGTGGTAGCCGCAGGTGAAGGAATTGAATCTGGATCTTCAGGCTGTTGTTGCAGGCTCCAATACATTATACTGGCTGCAAGAGTGAGAATCATCTTCTGATTAACCTGCCATGAGATCAACCAAGAAAGAGTGAGAAGCACATCATAAACAAAGTAAATCCAGAATGTGTTTATGTAATTGTTTGTTTTATCAGTGTTGAATAAACTTCTCCGTAAGCAAAAGAAAATTAAAAGGTAAAATGGATTAAACTTCTTCCACAAGCTAAAATCAATTTATGCATTTCAGCTTTTTAAGATGTTAGATGACAGAAATTTCATAAAAGATGAAGGTTTGAGTTGATTTTAACTTAAGGGAAAATTTGTTTCATTTTACCTTACCAGTTTCTCTTATAAGTGCGTGTTTCTCTAAGTAGTGTTTGTGAAAAGTTTATGCAAAACAGGGTCGGTTTGGATAAAGTTTTGTAGCAAATATGATTAAAACTCTCGGGTGGCAACCATACCTCCATAATATCCTCAGGTAACAAAAATATGGAACAACCCAGCTTTCTTGCAACACTGATTGTATAGGTCGCATTCAACCTCTTCTCATCATCTACAACAACAAATTAAGCCAATTTGGAAGGGATGAGAAAAAGGCAGATTTATCACATTGTATACAAAGGACCTGTTCATCTATATATCCCCATAGCATTAGTCAAACACAAAATGGTAACATTGGAAAGGAATCATACCACTTACACCCTTGGTGACAAGGTTCCAATTGACAACCCTGGGCTCAACAGCACTAAGAAGCTCAAGGAAAAAGAGTCCACTTGACAAGCTCTTATCCTTTACATAAGTTAGATACAAAAGCGTGTCATTAGTAAATCACCATCTATAGTTTTCTGTTGCTGGACATTGTTATTGACAAAATAAAACAGAGAATTTGTTTTGGAGAAAACCTTGAAGCTCTCTATGTGAGAAGTTCTGCCAGTGTTCTTCACTGTTCTGTTTACCCATTTCAGGATATCTGCATCTCTGATCTCCTTTCCTTGGGAATGAGATCTCAAATTTTTCAACAATTGAAGCATAGTGAATCTCATCAGCTGCCACAATAAAGCTGAAAAATAAAACAAAATATTTTAGACCATATTGAAAGCAAAACAAATAAGTGAGGAAAGGGAACTTAAAGACTAGCAGAAAAAAAAAGAGTAAATGATTTCCATAACATTTGCTTGGAATGAGATGAAGGTTTTACCAAGAATGAGCTTCTTATTTCCTTGCACGATGTCATTGCCAGCTACGTTGACAAGCGAGAATCTCAGTTGTGTACCAACTTCTATGACTTGATTGCAGTTCTCTACTTTTCTGAATGGCATTCTTATTGGAGGTCTTGTTGCCTGTTTCCAGTTAACTGATCCTGGAAAAATCTTGTCTAACAATTCTAAAAGTACCCATCTACATGCAGAAAGTAAAAGGAATCAAACACTTAGTGAATTTGGATATCATTCATTTCCTTTTTCCCAACTTGGAATAGCTGGAAAATTACCAGAAACTTGAAAATAAGGATAAATTAAAAAAAAAAAAAAAGTTAAGTACTTGTAATAAAAAAACAGAGCCACTGAGGGCTTCTACGTATAGTTCCCACGAACTTGAAAATAGACATGAAGATAAGGTAAAAAAAATATATAAATATATAAGTTTATTTAAAAAACAAGAGCAATTGCAGAACTCTACATATAAGTGTATAAATATCTGCCAGGTGGATTATTTCGTCATTATGTTTTGAGACCCAGAAAATTTACAGTTTACACATACAAAGCTTTAGATTTAGACAAAATAATAAATGCAGTTTAAGAAATGGAAAACATACCCATTTCTCACATCCTCAAATAGATTATTTACATGTGTAGAAATTCCAAAACTATTGATCCACATTCGGAAGCATCTCTCTTCTCTACATGTTTGCACATCATCTGTTATCATCTCAGCATAGGAAATCTTTTTAGTGTCTGTAGATAGACCACTCCTGCATTGTGTAGTGCCCTAATTAAATAACTACCGCACTTAAATGGAAAAAACAAATCCAAAAATTAACATATGTAATTTTGCAAAACCAAAATATTTTCAAAGAAAAAGAACACACTTATGGATTGACTAGCTTGTGATCTGATCTACAAATTAAAAGAATGATCTTTCATCTCAAGAGGAAACTAAAAACTGTTTGTTTTGTGCCTTTGAATTAACAAACACATTATATGTACTTCAAGAAAACCAATAATAAACTAAAATGCTTGATGTCAACATGGAATTCTCTTCTAATGTATTACTTGCCCACAACTTACCCTACTTACTACCACTAAATTCATTAAAATGACAATGATTATGATACAACAAAAAACTAAGGAATCTTCCACAAAAGAAAAGTGCACATGCATAAGGATATTTATTCAAGTTATCAGTAGTCTGCATAAAATTAACTATGCAATTCATTTCATACCGGTGATGAAACAATTGTGCAACAAATGCAAGATTCAAATTTGAAGTTCCCTCTACAATATCCCTCGGGGTCAAGTATCTTTTGCAGCCCATTCTCTCCGCATGATCAATAACCAGACTTGCCCTTTCATAGGCATCCTTGGTATCTAAGGTGGCTGGATTGCAATGTTCCGGAGCAAGGACATTAAGCAGATAAGCATAAGCCTCTCCATCCTGAAATTAAAAGAGTACGAACAAATTAAGACATTGGATTGATAAAAGCTTGATTCAATTTCAAATTGTAGTGGAAACTTTCAAGAGTTATAGCACTATTGGCTTAGAAGTTGGGAGTTGAAGAAATCAAAACTCTGTTAAACAAACATATTACAAGGTCTAGGTGACTTTTTAGCTCTTAGTCATGCATTACACAGTTAGATACTCAAATTCCATGAAGTGGGATACGCGAGAGATTGTTATTCAAGTTCAGATGTACTAAAGGCAGCTAGATGTCAAAGTGAAGTGTGAGTGTACGCATGTGTGTACATAGACATACAAATACAAACTTACGTATACTTACCCCAGCAAGCAGAAAGAAATTTCCAAGATTTGAAATGCCAGATAATTTAGATTTATCAATACTCTAACTATTAAAAATAATCCTCATATTGGAATTGTTTAGTTGTACTCACTCTTAAACGATACAAAAATAATTACAAATAAAACTAACAAGTCATAAATTAGTCAAACCCTAAGCATAGAATGCTATTAAAGACATACTCATATACCTTAACATCCGAAGAAAAATTTCTGACGGTTTTTTCATATCCTGCTCTCCGGAGATGAAAATTCATCCATTTTAGTAGAACCTTTTCAGGAGACAAATTAAGAAGCTCTTCAATCTCCTGAGACAACAATGAAATGCAACATACATCAGCTATCCTAAAACACAATGTGCAGCAAAGAATAAAACAATAAAATTTCATATAATTGCAATGAAAATAAAAATTAAAGAAGGAAAAAAAAAATCATATCTCATTACATCGTTTTCATCAACCAATTCCAGAAGTTGAGGTGTCTTCTTGAGGTTGAGATCTGCCAGCAGCTGAATCTGAAATTACCAGGAGAGTGGGAGCAAAAAGAGAACCATGAATAATTAATCATTCTTTAAGTCAAAAGATATATCAGGTATTTAAGAAAAATGATGTCCTCAACATATAAACAAATTCAAATAACAATGCTAAAAATAAAAGAATGATATATGCAGTTCGATTATTTACCTTTATGATTTGGGAAATTAACCCTAGAACAAGATGAGGCTGCAACATAAACAACCAACAATAATGTCACAAAGGCTAAAAGGTAAGAACCTAAGTAAATGTCGATAGAGAATTTGGGGAGTCCAGATTGCTAAAACTCACTCTTCCTTCAACTAAGTCCTGTGCACCAATGTTAACCACAGTGCAGCCAATAGCCTTGGCAGAATTGAGGCATAGAGTATGGTTCTCGTTGACCTCCCAAAGACTAGGATTTCGTTTGCAATTGATGGCTCGCTCATCTATAGTCCCAGGCACAGCAACATTGATAAGCTTACTGCATTAAACAAAACATATATCAAAGCCATATATTAAATGCTCATACACACGTAAAGACAATGCAACAATCAGCAGACCCTGCTTATATACCACAGAAGAACGCCATCTTTTGCAAGATCATATATATCATTTGCAGCTGGGTTCAATGGAAGATATTGCTTCAAAAATGGATCATCGCTAAGATAGCTGTTTATGTGGGCAACATAACAGGACTTTTCCGATTCACCGATTGTGTGAAGAAGGGTGGTCACGGTTTCCTTGAGAAATGAGGAGGAGTGCCTTCTACCACCTGGTTTTGCAGTAGCTTGGGTTTGCAAATTCAAATATGTCTGCACGAAAAATGTAATAAATTGGAAGGTTACATACATTAAGTAACGTACATCATATTTGATGTTGTTATATGGCCCCTAAACTGCTTCATTAATACAAATAATTTACACATAACATCCCATTATTAAGTTAACAACATCGAACAAGATTACCTAATCTAGTAACACTGAAAAAGAGAGAGCCAGATACCAGATTACTAACCTTTAAGAAGGTTTCAAAATCAATGTCGTTGGTAAAATCAGCGCCTGATTCAACCAAGATCCCCCTAATCTCATCCTCACCGTACGTGTCTCTGAATGCGTTTAGCTTCACCATCAAAGGTGGCAAATCTCCAAATGTAACTTTACCATTCTGATTCTTTAAAGTGACAAACTACAACACCAGAAAGAAGGGCCATATAAGGTAGACAAAACACAAAGCGTAAAAGACATCAAATTGAAAAGAATAATGAAATTGGACCAAAAGGTCCATTATAGGAATGCAAAGAAATGAACCTACTTTTGATTTCAGGCTGCGAAGCTCAACCTGCGTGAATTGGCTTTGAAGCGATTGATCGGAGACAATAACACCTTCGAATTTAGACATTTTGAAGAATCACTAACCAAAGCTACAAATTGTATTGTATCCCCAATCTACAAAAATTCTCCGGGAAAGCAAAAAATATTTGCAACACAAACAATACGTTTGTGCGTGCTAACTCAACAACCTATTGCCAGATGCAATTCTACACGGTCGAATTCAAATATAACGACCAAATCTACAACAAAACCAAAACAAGAAGCGGTTTATCTCCCGGTGTCACCGACCTGTCCAACGTTATCCTGACAGATAACACACACAAAAAATAAGCTTAAAAAGGAAAAAACAGATTACACCAATGCTAAAACAAAAAAGGGAGTTCGTTAGATTAGTTATCGAGGAAAACCCATCATTAAAAAATGACCAGAACCTCAATTCCATCAAAGATATCAAAAGGGTACAACGCATTTCACATCTGTGTGATATTCTTTCTTCTTCTTTTTTTTTCAACGAAAACATAGCGACAATATTGGTATTCAGTTATTTACCCCTCCCCCGAGAGAGCAAAATTCATTTGGGAATGTTGAGATCGAGAAAGAAGACAAGAAAGGGAACAAGTTGAGTAAGAACCACGCAGATGGTGGTACATGCATTGTAGTAATTGCATTTGTTCAAGTTAATGAGCGAAATCAATAATGAGAAATACCCACACATAAAAATGAGGAATGGGTTGTTTGAATGTTCAACCACCCTTCACTGTTTCACTAACAAAACATTGAATGAATAGAAGCGTACGAAATAGAAGAAAGGATCAATTTTTCTTAGTGGGTAGGCAAAGTGCCAGAGAAGAGAAGACAACGTGAGACTCCCAAGTCTCAACTGTTTTCCATTTTTTATTTTGGTTTCACAAAGGGCGCGTGGGGTAACCGCGAGAGTACATGTAGGTGTTGAACTCGCTCTAGCTTTCCAACACGTCATAGTCTTGGTGTATAATTATTTTGGTGTTTTGTGGAACCGACTTTGATGTGGTTTTTGTTTTGGGTCAGTTGTGATCTGATCTCACCAAATAACAGCCGTCGGATCATTATGGCTGACATGTTCATCGTCACAGCTGTGTCCGATTCGGTCTGGGCCCAAGAGAACACCGCATTACGCAACATTATATTATTATTATTATTATTATTATTATTATTTCTAATATTATTAATATATAATATAAAATATAGTTTGGTCACGGTTCTTTCTATATTCATATTCCATCAGATCTCGTGTCAATTTTTTTATAATTTTGTGACGGTTCTTTGCTACATTTATAATAGTATAAAAAAATTCTACACTCAACAGTTAATGAATATTTAACTCTTAAGAAAATAAGAACTCATGAACTGATGTTTTAATCAAACATCATTTTGTTAACTTTTGCTGCAAACAATAGTAATCAATAAGGTGAATGATGTTTGTTGTAAAGTTGGAAAAAATTAATTTTGCATTACTAAATATAATTTAATACAGGTTTAAATTAATATTTTATACATTTAAAACTAAAATGCATGTTAATAAATAATAGGTGATTGTTAAAGAAGAGTGAGTGAGTTGAGGCATAAGAGCATGAATGAATATGAGCATGTGCCCCCACCACACCACATTCTAATTCTTTGTCTCCCATCTTAATTATTATTTTTTAACAAGGAATATATTAACTTCATAATTCATTAACAAGTGGGACCAGATGTTCTACAAGATCACATAAGTGTCAAAAAAACAAAGAAATTTGTAGAAAAGGGTTATGAAGATTTGTGAACATCCCCAGGTTTTCGTAACAGTCACAAGTAAGAGATCATGCATTCAAAGCTTTTAAAACAATCTTCATTTCAATATTCAGTACACATCCAGTTTCTAGCTCATTTTCTACAAAATGAACTGTAAACTATTTTATTTACTCACCAATCTTAATGCACCATGTTAATATATATTCAATTTAATAGGATAAATCTCTAAATACCTACACACAAGTATATATAAGGGTATATGTTTCAGCTAATACCAATAATAACATATTTTTGAAGACACGTGATACCTTAAAATAAACACTGTCATAACACATTTTTATTACAACAAAACTTTGAATCAGATCTCCCATGAAATATGGTTTGATAAGGTTCGGAGTTGAAATTGAACACGAAGAAGTGCATGAAGACATTGTCCTGTCATGCCACATCCACTCATTTATTCTGCAACAATTTTCATGAGTTCACATACTTGACTTGCTTTTCACCTTTTTATATATTTGAAGAGATCCAGTGATTTCAAGTTTGTCAATTTTTTCATGGATTCCGGTATTGGACCACTGAGTCTGTATGGGAAAGATTAAGCGCTTTGAGTGCGTTAAGCTCTCTAATGACAGTTGGAATCTCTCCTTCAAATTTGTTACTGGATAAATCAATGGCTACCAAGTTGATTGGAATTTGGTTGAAGGTCATACTCATTGCTTTTGTAGTTAAAGTCGCAGAAACAATCTCATGATCAATTATAGAATCAATGCCTGTTGAATTACCAATGTCAATGTATTCCTGAAGACGGTTCTCCACTTCTTGAATGACATTCTTCATAGCTTCAAAATTTTGTATGTAGGCTTTTGGTAAGCCGTTGAAGTTGTTGGATGAGATATCAAAAACAATCAAACTGGGAAATTGATGTTCGGTTTCCAAATTTACAATGGGACCGTGCAACTTATTGGCTCGCAAAACTAATACTTCCAAATGTGGTATAGAGTTTGAAGCCAAGAGGGAAACTTATCCTCTATTTGATTGTTGCCAAGATTCAAAAACGTCAAATCTGCGCAATTGGACAAAGATTCTGGCAAAGGACCTTGTAATTGGTTGCCATTAAGATTCAAAAGTTCGATTTTGTCTGAAAAGGTTCTTGGCAAAGTGCCATAAAATTTGTTCATTTGTAGATTCAAATAATTGAGTTGCGGTAAGTTTGCAAGGCATAGAAGAATAATGCCGGTTAACTTGTTGCGAGACAAGTTGAGAACTCCATTGAACTTGCGTTGCATATCGAGGAAGAGATGCCACCAATCAACAAGTTTTGGGATAAATACAAACTTTGTAGCGAAACCATTTCATGCAACCATTCGGGCACTGTTCCATTGAATTTGTTGTTGGACAGATCTAGATCTATCGAATTTGGCACTTTTCCTGATAATTTTGGAAATTCAGTTAAACCCATGGAAGATAAATACAATCTCTCTAAGCGAGAGAAATCGTAATTGCCATCGGTGAAGAAAAAACCACTGAAATTGTTTGATGATAGACATATTTCAGTTAGGTTTACAAGGGTGAAAAATGATTGTGGAATATTGCCCTGTAGCTTGATGTTGCACAAATATAGATACTCCAAGGTTTGTGATGAGATTGCACGGATATGTCCTGTGACAGATGCAAGTCTACCAAAGATGGTAAACATAAGCACCAGTCCCATTTAGTGAGTTATGACTTAACCACAACGATGTTAGATTTGAAAGCCCCGTTATTTTGTTGGGCAGAGGCCCTCCAATTTATTCTGTGAGGTCCAAGGAAACGAGATGAAGAAGATTAAAAAGTGAGGATGGAATTTGACCAGTAATTTTATTCTCTGAAAGATCCAAGTGAATAAGATGTTGAAGATTTGAGAGTGTTGATGGTAGCTCACCTCCTATATTGTTATTCCTCAAATATAATTCTCAGCAAAGGCCACTGCATGACGAGATGTCAAGGCCTATGATGCGACCAGAGATAGGGTGGCAAGTAACCCCAAGGCATGGGCAACAATGTTTCCATTTTCCCACGTTGGGGTCTTTGGTTGATCAACATCATCACACAAAACAAAATAAGGACAAGTGAAAGAGGTCTTGAATTGAAGCAAGGCAATTTGGTCGTGAAGATGACATAAGGAATGGGAAAATGAAAAGTGAAATAGCAACAAATGGAAACAAACAAGAACTAACCACCCCACCCATGACTTCATCTTAAGCTGTGGGTTTTACTCTAAAGGGAAAATATGCATAAGGATAAGGAACAAAAGACCAACATTTATATCCCAGCTTCAAGACTTGAAGAGCCAATCCCATGTAAACATCGTATCAATCAGCTTCTAATCCTTTCCTTACGCGCATTGTGTAATTTTCTGCAACTGAGTGGTTAAGTTTATTATCAGTCATATCATATTACTAGTTAAATCATCATTTCAAATTACGAATGTATGAGTAAAAGATCCAAATCTATAAAAATACTTCTCTGGTGATATATGAAAAAACTAATCTCAGTCATACACAGATTGAGAGGGATAGATCAAAGTTTACGGTTTCATAGAAATTTCCTAAGAAAACTGTCCTATACTATATCTATCAATCAAGACTAGAATTTTTTATGTTCTACTCCATTTATAACGCTTCACTCCCAATACTGCCACTTACTTTCACCAGGAAAGTCATTGTTAAAGGAGAAAAGACCGACCAAGAGCGTAAAGACAAAGAAGAAAAGGGTAAAATCTGTTGTGTCTTTTATTCCAACGTGGCCAAAAGAACATTGGGCTTCTTCTGTTTTATCCCCACAAGCTAAAAGTGTGTGAATGTCAAGAAACTTCAGTTTGGATAAATTAACATTGAATAAGTGGAGGTAGAACCTTTGTAAACAAGTCAGCAAGTTGGTGATTGAAAGAAATAGGTAGCACTCACATAATGAGCTTTTTTACGAACAAGATAACAATCGATTTCCAAATACTTGATGCTCTTGTGGAAGACAGGATTAGCAGCAATTATGAAGTGCACTTTGATTATCACAGTATAAGATAGGTGACTTTAGACAAGAAATATTTAGATAAGATAGTAAATAAATTAATCATTGTAACTCAATATGGTAGAAGCAAGTGCCTTATACTCAGCTTCGGAAGAAGATCGAGATACAGTGTTAGTTTTCCAAGAAACTAAAGAGCGTGTTAGTTTTCCAAGAAACTAAAGAGCTACCAATGAAGATGCAATACCCCGTAACTGATCGACAAGAGTTAATGCAAGTAGTCCAATCTACATCACTGAAGCCCAAATCATGGACTGGAGAGTCATGTCTAAACATAAGGCCTTTGCTAGGACAACCCTTAAGATATTTTTAAGAACCCACATGGCAGCCTGGAAGTAAATTTTGGTTGGCTTATCCATGAATTGGCTTAGTTGTTGGACAGAAAAATTAACATTTGGACGCGTGCTTGTAAGATGTAGCAATCGACCAATCAAATGTCGATAGGAGAGCGGATCAAACAAGGGTGCACTAGAATCTTTATGAAGACGAAGTGAGCAATGCATGGGAGTAGTGGAAGGCTTACAACCCAACATACTAGAATCAGATAACAATTCCAAGTAATACTTTTGTTGACAAATAGAAATTCCAGCATATGATATGTTAACTTCTAAACCCAAGAAAATTTTCAAAGGCCTTAAGTCTTTAATGTGAAAAGTTTAAGACCTTTTTAATAGTGTCAATCTCATGCAAACAATTACCAGTCAAGATTATATCAACATACACTATTAAAACTGTGAAATCATTTTCATTACTTTTAATAAAAACGTTGTGATCTGTTAGGGCTTGCTAATACCCACAAGAGAAAAGAAGAAGAGAAAGTTTTTCATACCAACGACCACTAGCTTGTTTTAACCCATATAAGAATTTTTGAAGTTTGCAACAATATGAACTAGAGTAGTCATGAATGTCAGGAGGGATAATCATGTAAATATATTCTATTAGGTATTATTTATATCTAGTTGTTGCATATGTCATTTGTTAACCAAAGCTAAAGCTAGGACAATGCGAATAGTAGTCATCTTTGTCACAATGAAAAAGGTCTCCATGTAATCAATACCCTTAATTTGGGAAAAATCTTTGATGAATAAGCTAATAAGAAGAATCTTTGAAGTCTTGACTCGAAGATTTGATAAAGTCAAAAGAAGATATTAAATAGAAGATGTTGTGTTAGTCCATTAATGAGTTTGTATCTACATTGTGTGTAGGTATAAGCATTTATCCTCTCATATAACATGAGTTTCTGTATTTTACAAAGTAGAAAGTGTCTTAAGTATTTTTAATTTGTGAAAATTTATTTTAATCGATTAATAGTCAAAGTTTTAATTGATATATTTTCTAAATAATCGATTAAAAACGCTTAAGAAACTTGAAAACACTTTTTGTCGCAATTTTAATTGATACATTTTTGAAATAATCGATTAAAAACACTTAAATAACTTGAAAATACTTTTTGTCGCAGTTTTAATCGATATATCATCAAAATAATTGATTAAATTCACTTAAGAAACTTTAGAAGACCTTCGTTAGAATTTTAACGAGATATATCTTTAAAATAATTGATTAAATTCACTTAAGAAGTTTTAAAAAATCTTCTGTTAGAATTTTAACTTATATATCTTCAAAATAATTGATTAAATTTTAAGAAGTTTTAGAAAACCTTCAGTCGAACTTTAACCGATATATCTTCGAAATAATCGATTAAATTCACTTAAGAAGTTTTAGAAAACCTTCTAACAAAACTTTAACTCGATATATCTTTGAAATAATTGATTAAATTCACTTAAGAAACTATAGAAAACTTATTGTCGAATTTTAATCGATATAACTTTGAAATAATCGATTAAAAACACTTAAATAATTTTTGCATTACAGTTTTAATCGATTAAACCTCATTTTCATAAGTTAAAACGCCTCTAAAAAATATTCAGAATTATTTTAATAGATTAAACCACATTTTTATTAGTTAAAATATCTCAAAAAAATTAGCGGAACCTTTTTAACCGATTAAAAGACATTTTCATCAGTTAAAATCATTTAAGCTAAGTTGTTTTAATCGATTAAAGTGCAAAATTAATCGATTAATCATAACGAGTTAGTTAGAAAAATCTATATATAAATAGAATCACATCTTTGATAAATTATTTAAGCAATCTTTAAAAATATTTTCCAAGAGAGAAACACGTCTTTCTCATTATAATTCTTTTATAATCTTTCTTGAGGCTCTTTATTCTTGTTTTTGAGGAAACTCATTCTTTGATTGGATCTTTGTATCTTCATATTGATTTTATTGTTGTAATTTCTTCAAACATCTTGATTCTTCATTTGGTTCATTGTATTTTTAGTGTCTGGAATTGTGGGCACTAGGTTAAGCAGCTAAAATTGTAGTTGATATCATAGGTTCAAGAACTGGGTTAAAGTTCTTTGTGTAGATTGATTTTTTGCAATTTGTTCTTGTAATTAATTGTTATTTGATTAGTGGAACTCAATTGGAATTTGATTGAGAATTGGAAGTAGCCCAATATATTTGGTGAACCAAGATAAACTTAGTGTTTTTGCTTTTCTTTCAACTCTTTGTTTCATTCAAGATTGTTGTTATTTGGTTCAAGAATTGATTGGGTTCAATACTGCCATCGGAGTTGCGCTTGATTTTGTAAACTCGCTTGCATCCTATGGTTTAACACTAGGTGGAGTTTTAACAATGTCTCAAATCTAATTTAAATTCCAAACATCCAATTTAGCTTGCATTGCCTCAATCCAACAAGGGTTTTTAATAGCCTCTTTATAGGTAGAGGGTTCAGCCTCAGAAAAAAGGGAAATGACAATTTTTTTTCAGAAGGAGGTAATTGAGAATAAAAAATTACATTTTGAATGGGATGTGTGCACGTTAGGGATGGTTGGTTTGATGAAAAGCTGAATGTGTTACATACAAAGTCACGAAAACGAGTGGAAGGTTGAGGGATGTGTGTAGAACGACATGGTTGATGACCAGATGGTGTGGGGAGAGATTGGATTATCATGGGTTATGTGTTAGATAGGGGCAGAGGGGTTGACGTATTTTGTGTTGGATGATTGAGATGTGAAATGGAGGCATTGGTCCAACAAGGGGAAGGATCTAGAAAAATTGGGTCCGCAATAAGGTAGGTAAATTTAGGAAAAGGTGTGGATGGTTTTGCAGGAAGGGAACGGGTGATGTTAGGAGTGAGAGCATTGGGCTTCTAGAAAGGGAGCAAGAAAAATGACATTTCTTGACAAGAAAATTTCACTAAAATCTAAATCGAAAATAATATACTCTTTCCACGTCTAGAACGATAATAGGTGGAAGCATAGCAAAAAGACCAAAAAACCATAATAATGGAAAAATCAAGTTTTTTATTAAACAATAATTCAAAAGTTGTTTTATTTTTTATGACTGGTGAGAGAAACGATTTATAGGGAAAACAACATGTTTTATGACATAGGATAAAAAATTATTTGAAAATTCAAATTGAAACATAAGAGCAATAACAACATTAAGAATGTATTGGTGCTTACATTCAACTTTGTCATTTTGTTGAGATGTGTAAGGATAACTTGTTTGATGAATAATACTTTTTGATGCATAAAAAATCTTTAAAGAAAATTCGGGACCATTATCGGAATGAAGAATTT